AGCATCACATGCTTCACGGTGTCTCTCTGCCACCTGCTGGTGGGACCTGCGACACGTCAGAAAGCTGACCTTCAAGTCACGCTCATTTGTCACAGAGATAACAGTTGTGTTCTCGCAGATGGCTCTTAATATGGACATCTGGGACAATACAGTTCTGTTCCCTTGATAATTCATTTCCTGTTTAGCAGGCGACGTTTCCATGGATGCTCTGTGTAGTAGCTCATTAGCAACACTCAGGCCACATCATCGCGGTGTTTGTCTGCAGAATCACGAGTTTGTGGACGAGCAGACGTTTCAGGCCAACTGCATGGAGGTCTCTTTGGTGAACAAGTCTGGCTCCCGCTCCTCGTCACTGTCTTCGTCTCCACACGGCCTCAGCTCGTGCTGCTGTCGACGGCACAAGAAGAAGAGCAGCTTCAGCCTGCCGAGCACCAACAACCAGGAGCTCAGCACCATACAGATCAGAGAGAGGCCGGTGTCCAACAGGTACACAGCAAAGTAGTCACAAAAACCAGTAGATGATGTTTCATTCAAAAAGGTCTAATCACAGACAGATGTTAGATAGATAGATAGATAGATAGATAGATAGATAGATAGATAGATAGATAGATAGATAGATAGATAGATAGATAGATAGATAGATAGATAGATAGATAGATAGATAGATAGATAGATAGATAGATAGATAGATAGATAGATAGATAGATAGATAGATAGATAGATAGATAGATATGCCACATAATAAATTAGTAAAGGATTTAAAGACGCAGACTCATGTCTTGGACACGAGAAACGTGACTAACAACCACTATTAAATGGTGTGTTTTAGACCCTCAGGCAGTTTTGAACGTGCTTTTTAATTTTTTTTTTTTTTTTTTAGCGGAAATCACTGCAGCAGCTCAGGGAGTCTTCTGAGAGCTGTTCTTTATCTTTTTTTTTTTTTTGCATCTTCAACAGATGCAAGTTCAAACTTTACAATGCAATGTAATATTTATTCGAAACATCGAGGTTTTGGTGCAACGTGAGCTGCCATACACTCTTTGTCTTTTTATTCATCTTTTTTCTGCACAGCTCATGTAAAAAAAGACCTGCTTGCAGTCCTGGCCTGTCTCATGATGAAACTTTTGACAAGTCCTGAAACTAGAATTGAGACAAACAGGGCCTCTAAATGTCGAGGCGTTCAGATCCCATATCCTCAGTTCTCAGCTAATTACAGAGTTAAAGGAGCTGATGCAACAGAGAAGAAAACATGACCCTGCCGCAAGTTTTTATAACATTTTATTAGAATTAAAGGCAGCTATAGATTAGCCTTGTTGCATTAGTAGTTTTAGAAGTTCGCTTTAAAACCTAATAAAGGATAAAGCTTATGAAATTGCTTCAACTAGTCCATTATAGACTTAGTCATTGATTTCTTTATTTATTGTTCCCATTGAGTCCAAATATAAACAAAAACAACATCAAAAGTCATTATTATTGTGTTCAAATGGATTCCAGGCCAACTTAATGAGCACCATTGTGTAGTTCATCATCATCCACATACCCAATAAATTGTCCTAAAGCAACTAAATTCTGCCAAATTCCACAACAACTCACACAGTGTTCATAAACCTTTATATAAGGCACTTTAAAATGTTCCACCTCTTTCAGATGTAATGGTAGGAAATTCCTACAGGACCTGACACATAAACGCACCAGATGTGCAACATTTAGCTGCTTATATGTCTGCATATAAATGAGCATGCATGTTAATAATCTTGTAATGTCAGATGGACAGCTCTGTTAAGGTTTTTGTAAACAGTGTTTGCCTGAATTTCTATGAAATGTAAGAATTTGCAGCCTTTTAATGATTTAGAGTGACTTAATACACATTGTGTTCATAAGCATTAGAACAATATAAGCACTGCTTTTCTATTTTATTGATATTGCTGTTTAGTCAGCATTCTGAAATCAAATGTTGTACTTGATACAGGAACATGTTGATGCACTTAATAATAAAAGGGATCATTTTGAAGCAGTATTAGAACAGCAGCAACTCACTTCTGTCTTGGCTGCACTCTGACTAGCTGTTAGCTCATCAGTCCCAAAGAAAATAAACTTTACTTGAACAAAAAGAGTAAAGATGGTAATTATGTACAACTATTATACAGAAACACACTTCAAAATGGAAAATCTCTTGATTGTGTTTAGGCCGTATGTTTTATACTTGTTTTTTTTTTTAGTAGCTCAGAAAACATATAATTAAGTTTCACACATTTTATGTGTGAAATATTTGATGCAGTGGATGAACCATAAGCAGGCAGACAGTGTGATCAGAGCTCTATTTAAACCCAGGTTTTTGTTTCAAACACCAGGAGTTTTGAGTCTATTATGTTGTGTTTTCTGTAGGCTTTAACATTCATACATCAATAAAAATGCTCTTTAGAATAAAGCTGTTGAACTTCTGCAAAAGCTGCCTCCAATGAAGAAAGTATAAAAGAACTGTTTGAAAACTTGTCTTAAAGCGAATACAAGCTAAGTCCTTGCTTTCTCTCTCTCACTCTGTCTCTTTATCTCCCTCTCTCTCTGTGTCTTTCTTTCTCCCCCCTCTCTCTCTCTCTGTGTGTCTCTTTATCTCCCTCTCTCTCTGTGTGTGTGTGTGTCTTTCTTTATCTCCCTCTCTCCCTGTGTCTTTCTTTCTCCCCCACCCCTCTCTCTCTCTCTGTCTCTTTATCTCCCTCTCTCTCTGTGTCTTTCTTTCTCCCCCACCCCTCTCTCTCTCTCTGTCTCTTTATCTCCCTCTCTCTCTGTGTCTTTCTTTCTCCCCCACCCCTCTCTCTCTCTCTGTCTCTTTATCTCCCTCTCTCTCTGTGTCTTTCTTTCTCCCCCCCCCCCTCTCTTTCTGTGCCTCTCTCTGTCTGTCTTTCTGTCTCTCTCTTTATCTCCCTCTCTCTCTGTCTGTCTCTCTCTCTCTGTCTGTCTCTCTCTCTGTCTGTCTTTCTGTCTCTCTCTTTATCTCCCTCTCTCTCTGTCTGTCTCTCTCTCTCTGTCTTTCTTTACCCCCCCCCCCTCTCTCTGTCTGTCTCTCTCTGTCTGACTTTCTGTCTCTCTCTTTATCCTCCTCTCTCTCTGTCTGTCTTTCTGTCTCTCTCTTTATCTCCCTCTCTCTCTGTCTGTCTCTCTCTCTGTCTTTCTTTACCCCCCCCTCTCTCTGTCTGTCTCTCTCTGTCTGTCTTTCTGTCTCTCTCTTTATCCTCCTCTCTCTCTCTCATCCTGATTTTCCCTCACAGCCGCTCCAGCCTGAATGCCAAACTTGATGAAACTGTGCCCTTGAAATGTAATGAACCTTACATCACCCCGTCCATGGTCAGCCTGTCTGCCCCGGTGGTGACCTCATCAGACGAGGACGCTTCCACTACAGCGTACTCTCAGAGCAACATTGTCCGAGTATCTGCCTTGTAGATGCCACCGTCTATCCAATCTGATCAGCTGATTGGTCTCAAGAAGCACCAGATGCTGAGGAGAGGGACCACCGAGCATCAACCTGCCATAATCAAGAAGGATTATAAGATTCCCAGAGGTTGGATTTTCTTTTGTTCTTTTTTTAAAGTAGTGATTTCATCTGATGTCAATCACTGCATGGTATTAAAAGTGGTGTGGACAGCTGCCCTGGAAGTGGAAGCGAACCAGCAGACCTTTGCTTCCTTAAGCACAGCAGAGTGAAGAGGTGTTCGTGGTCATCATTGTTGCCTAAAAATGACAAAAAAAAAGACTTTATTTTTGAATATGTAATGTATGTGTTGTCTCAGAGTCAAAGGCAGATGTTTAGAGATCATTCCCAAAGGCCTCTGATAACAAAGCACATGTATTCATCTCCTGAAGGCCATGTTTGTGAATATAAAACCTGTCTGATTACACGTTTGGCATCCACCTTTTGACACTTCTCCATTTAAAAGCTTTCTTATCTTCTCCTGTTCACTCTTCTAAAAAAAAAAGAAGAAAAAACACAGTTCCATCCCCTGGAATGATCAAATGTTGTGAATATTCATTTACAGACTGATGAAATGGTCACCGCTGTTCCTTGAAGAATAAAATCCACCACTCATCCTGACATGTTTGTGAACTGTGCAAGTGAAAGTCTAAAGACCAAATCTGTGTTAGCTCCCATGTTTGACATTCTGAATCTGTGTGAAAGCCGCTGTGGTTAGTTAACAATAGTTATTGATAACTATACAGGGTATACCTTAGTTAGGGCACAAGTGAATAACTGAATGTTCTCCGCAACATCTACTCAATAATAATCTTAACGTGGACTCTTGTGGTAGCATTGACCTGGGGGAACTTTATGAAAGAACATCGACTCCAATGACTTCCTTAAAAAAAGAAAACGACAGAATTTCAAAGAAAGACTTCATTGTGTAAAAGCACCATTTTGTATATTTTTCATAATGTAAATATCTCAGTTAGGACTTTATCAAATGCATCTGAAGTTGGCTCCACTTATTTCTAGATTTAGTTGTTGGCAAATCTCTTTCTGTCTGTTAACTGGTTGAATTAATGATTTGCATGCTGTCATTGCAGAATTCTGTTTTATTAAAGTATGTCTCTGCTCATTGTTGGAGGTTTGTCAGTTAAATAATGATCGATGAAGGGAAACACAATGAAGTGGGTGTGTTCTGATTCTGCAGCTCTGCTTTTAATGAAATTTTGTCTTGTTTAAAGGGATGGTTTCAGATGTTTTGAAAAGGGGGCTTTGTGAGAAGGTTCTTCATAAGGAATCGTGTGGTGGATGGCTCTTTGAATGGAGAAATGTTGAGAATTAAAATGTATTTTGACCAGTTTGAGAAGCTATGGGCTATCTTGAGTAAGGCTTAGACCCAAACAGACATATAGTTCACGTGTGACAACCCTTACACTGATCTCAGTTTACATTTTATGGTTAATCTGAAATGTGATGGTGGAAGTATAACAATTTAGTAAAACTGAAAGAAGGCTCACCGGGTGGGCACGGCAGTGTGAGTTTATTACTCATACATTTGTAATAATATGTCTAAATCAATTTGGGAGACATTATTTACTGAATTGTCAAAGAATTATATGAAAATGTTATAACTTTCTATGTTTTTGCACTTTTTGATTGACTGGAGTGAAATTAGGATACCGTTTGGTTTGCTAATGGAATATTTTGCTAATGATAATAGAACATAATTTAACACCAAACCATGAAAATAAAACTATTGGCTGTGTTTAAAGAGACATTGTGTAGCTTTTACCTTTAATCTCTGGAAATGTCAAATGAAATATTGTTGAAAATGAATAAAATGATGTCCAGTTGTTGAAAAATATTGGCGGCTTTGTAACATATAACCATAAATATCGAGTTTAACCCTCCCACTGTCCTAATGGGTGACCCCATGAAGAAAGTTGACCATTGAGCAGGGTTGATGGTTCATCTCTTGGGTCCATGTGGCAGGGGTGAGGAGTGAGCACCAACTCACCCCTGCCACGTGGACCTCAAGGGATAGAACAACATTTACCGTAATATTTTAGCAAAAGTCACGGTAGTGTAAAACTACTCTGAAATGTATGTACAGCCCTCCAATCATGTGGAAACACTGCTACTTTAAAATGTCTACTCTCCTTCACTACATAGGGAGTGTGCCATTTTGCTGTGATGTTAAAAATTGTAGCTGATTTTCCATTTCGCTACCAAGGGCCCTTGAAACATCACAAAAAGTTATGTGCATTTGTTGTACACTGGTTTGGTAGAAGTAGACCATAGTGCACTGTGACCTGAGCAAACAGCATGCTAATGCTAGGAACTCAACGGAAATTAAAAGGTTTGAGAATTGTTGAAAATGCTCAAAATTTTCTAGACATCTTTTCTCTAAAGTGTCTCGTCTCTTCATCTAGCTGAACCTGAAAAAATTCAACAAAATCAAATCAAAGATACTTTATTGATCCCAGAGGGAAATCAGAGCTTCAGTACACACAGTTCAGAGATCAGACATACATGGGCAAGACACATGACAAGAATTGGTGACTGTGGTCATTCGCAACCCTGAGTCGCGCTACCTTAATAGAGATAAGAGGGGTTACGTGAGGATTGGTTCAGGTGGAGGGGAAAAAAAGGCACTTCAGAGTTACCCTCCACCAGGAGGGCAGCTTTGCTCTGCAAAAAAACACCTCAAACATAAATGAAACAAACTTCAGACAACACAACATAAGTGTCCACTAGGTGGGGTGGTAGGTTGGGACCATCCCTACTTCAGTTCCTGCAGCCACGATAAGCAGCGCATGTCACCTCAGTGTGGATAGGGGGAGGAGCATTGAGGGTTGGAGGGTTGTAGTGACCCTGGAACGATTCAGCGGCCTTCCCACAGTCCCGCCCAGCAGACAGAGTTGAGTTGCCGTAGCGACGGCACATTCCACATATCTTCTGAGGGGGGAGTTTTTGTTGGAGTCTTGCAGGCTAAAGGGCGCCAGATTCCGATTAGAAATTGTTTTGGGGCCAGACGGAGATAATTTCCTCTCTGTCTTACAGTTCCTTGGTCCTCAACCTCTGAAAATCCCAGTAATGGACATTAAACTATCCCAATTCGTGCTGATTTGTACACTCTATCCTTGATGGCATCCACCGTTGTGGCATTGAATGAATCTCGGCCAAAGTTCCAAGCTTACGATTCATCTCGACAATTATGTGAGTGTGTGAATTCACAGCGCGGTACAAACCATCTCTAAGCTCCGGGATCAGGCCAATATTCCTCGACAGCTCGTTACTTTTCCGGTAAGCCAGGTAGCCTCCAATGCCAATGAGCAGGAAACCTGACACCAACACCACGAATATCCACACGTCTTCAGAGTCCTCCACAGACAGCTGAGATACACAAATCAAGTTCCACTGTTTCCAGGAGTCCTTGATGTGTCCAACTGGGTCTGTCCCGGAGGGGCATCCAGAGCCCATTCTCATCGTTGAAAAAATTTTATCAATCGCGTTGAGTGACCAACTGACGAGATCCATTTTAGTGATTTCAGTTTCGATTTTCCAGAAAAAATGCAGAAGCAGCCGTGCACCCAGCACACAGAGACAGACAAAGCCCTTGAAACATATCACAAAAAAGTATGTGCATTTGTTGTACACTGGTTTGGTAGAAGTAGACCATAGTGCACTGTGACCTGAGCAAACAGCATGCTAATGCTAGGAACTCAACGGAAATTAAAAGGTTTGAGAATTGTTGAAAATGCTCAAAATTTTCTAGACATCTTGACTCTAAAGTGTCTCGTCTCTTCATCTGGCTGAACAGCAGAACCTGAAAAAATTAAACAAAACGTTAAATCATAATAAAAATAAATAAATAAAATAATGTGGAAATCATGCTGCATGTCACCCGACACGCTGTGGCTCGATTGGACCCTATGACTTTTTTGCTTAGGTTATAATAGCTCTATAGTTGAATAAAGATCTTGGCAGTAAGTCCACATAAAGCGATTTCAGCTGTTTTATTCTTGACATTTTCAGTACCTTCCAGAATGAGCCGTGCCAGGGCTCTGTAATTTTAAGAAAATAAGCTGGAGCTGGCAACGCCCACAAACCCCCTGCTCGGGCTGCTATAAGCTGAGCAGCTCTGATATCCAGGAAGAGCTCAGAGTGCCCTCCAGCAGCAGCTCTCTCCTGCAGAATGGAGGTGCTTTTGTACATAATTCCAAAAACAAACTGCAAACACTGAAAACATATTTTTTCCCATTTGCAGTGTTTATAGAAGGAGTAGAAACCCAAAGGATGCAACAAAAGATTTTCAACAAACAGCTTAAAAGATCCTTTTTTAAAAGATACAATTTCACACAATGTGGATCCCAGAATCACCAGGTGCATTTATTCTAATTGGTAATAAGCTACTTGCGACTTATGGTTGATGAGGGGAGGTTTCTCTCGTTTGGAGTGAAGTGAAATGTGCAAACAACATAAAAAAGAGCAACGGAGATTCACACTTAGTAGCTTCATTTGTTATCTATAAATAAACTAGCTCATGCTCAAAGAAGATGGAACAAAATGTGTTCCTTACTGTTTTAATGAGGAAGATGTTTTGTTAGTTTAAAATATGGACAATCCCTTATTTTATGGGACATTTTGTAACTCTTTGGTAACCCCCAGGCTAATCTGGGTCAGCTGCTACCACTTTTTGTGTTTGCAACATGGTTTGCAAGTAACCTAAACCTCTATGTAAAAAGCCATGTAATCTGAAAATGACAATGGCATAAAGGTTTCTAAGATCACAATCACATGAACTGGAACGGTATTTTTTCAGATCTGAGTTGGTTCAAGATAGCAGAAATCACCACATAGCTCAGCCCTGTTTGGACTGTCTGTTGGTTTATGAAACCAGTCAGAAGAAATCTGTGTTTCTCCAAACTCAAAGAGCTATTTAGCACAGGTAAGATATTAAATGTACCAAACCTTTCCACAGAACCTTGTTCAAAGCTCTGATCTATTGCTTTAATGGTGAGGAAACGGGGACAAATTAACACACATTGTGCATTTGGTGCAGTGGATAAAATAAACAGTGTAGCTCTACTGAAACATCCATAAAATGGCTCATGTCGTTTTTTTTAAACTACAATATAATTACCAGGATTTATTAATGTTTTTCCTGACTCAAAGAAGATTTCTGTTAGTGAGGCAGGATAATAAGGAGGTGCTGCTGCTGAACATGTGAGGGCCTGACTGGCCCAGCAGTAGGTCCTGGCAGCGGGGGTCTCTGGAGACACACGAGCTAGCCCATAAGTGATTGTTTGACAGAGCGTCCCCCACGCACCCCTCCTCCTGCTGAGCTGATTGTGTCGGTCCAAACAGCTCCTCACAGCAAGCATCACCTCCGCGCGGTGGTGTCTAGCAACAGCTGAGGAGTCCGTCTGTGTAAAATCTGAGACTGCACAGCAACACGTAGAACAAAAGATCTTTTACAACCATAAAAACGGGCTCAGGTGTGTTAATGTCTGGTGTAACACACAGGGTTTTATTACATGAAATGTACCATAATGGTGCCAGATTATGTGAAAATGTGGTCGTTTAGCGTTGAAATGGAGCCAGCAGAAAGGATGTCATAAACTCTTATGGAATCTGGATTTAGCCCAGCTCTTTAGCTTATAAAACTCAGCATGAAACTGAGGGTTCACTGCAGCATAAATTAGTGGGTCACTCAGTGATGTGATGCAGGTAATAGACACGGACAGGATCTCCAAGTCTTGAATGATCTGCTTCTGAGAACAAATAAATAAACATTAACAATAATTACAGATTTTCTGTTTGCGTTAACAAGTGGATGTGTTTATGATTAAAATTCTGACATTACCTGTGGATTCTTGTTTTTGTGAGTGAAAACATTAACCAAGATACTTGTGATCAGCGGCAGCCAGAATAAAAGGAAGGTTAGAATAATGAAGCCAGCACGCTTGGTCATTCTGCTTTCTTTGTTCTTCCTCGCTCGCTCCCTGTTTGCTTTTGAAGGCATGATGCAGACGGCGCCTTCTAACTCTATATTTTGTGTTTTGGCTTCAGTATTTGGGTCTGGAGGTGTTGACGCTGTTTGATCTGACACCAGAGCTGCCTGTTTTTCTCCAGTGTTGCTTCTCTGTTCTTGTTTCAGATCAGTCATTAAGAAAGAAGCAGACTCAGGATTGTCTCTTTGTGCAGACAATAGAACATGAAGGCTGGGATCATTGGCTGCTGGTTTCAGACTCTCTCTGGACTGATTGTCAGCATTAAAATTGCTTGAAGCATTTTGCGTCGCTCCATTCGAGCCCCGAATGTTTGCTGCAGCATCTTGAGATAATGGTTTTGTTTCCATTTTTATGGAAAGCGGGCTGCACGACTCCGTTTTCAATGATTTCTCCACAACGTGTCCTGCAAGTGGGTGGGGTTGATTCATTTCTAAATGACTCACCGCTGCTGCTATATTTTTTAATTCTGTTGTCTTCTCAGAACTGATGGATTCAAACTGGGGAGCTTCTCCTGAGGTCAGCGAGGATTTTTTCTTGAATTGATTTGGTGCAGCCTGCGTTTGAGCAGTGCTAATGCTCAGGATCTGCTCCGGCTCAGATTTACTGTGTCCATTTTCCACATCAGCGGTTTCTGTTCTCCTTGGTTTATGTTCTGTTGAACCCTTTTTAGGAACAAAAATACCTTTGTCAAAAATTTTGCGATTGTGTGATCTAATTAGGGCAAAAATGCGAGCGTAGAATCCAGTGATGACACCGAAGCAAGCTGCCCACAGCAGGAGCAGCACAAAAAGTCCAGAAGGAGACGTTCCTCCTTTCTGTCCTTTGCATTGTGCATACACAGGAGAGTCTTTCAAAAACATCTGACAAAAAACTGCCACCAGGAAGGCCAAAGTCCAAGTGAGAGGAAGGAGTACCATAATCCGTCTTTTGCGTTGGCTTGCCTGGAAGGGGTTTGCGATTGCCTGGTACCGCTCTGCACTTATGCACGCTAGTGTCAACAACTGGACACAGCTGCTGAAGTTGAAAGAGGCCATTTGTGTGTCACAAACCAAAATGTCCATGTGTCCTTTTTGATGCACAGTTGTGATGATGTCCAGCAGGATGGGGCAGTCGAGTACACAACGCAGGAAGTCCGCCACAGCTAGATTCACCACCAGCGCATTAACAGACGTTTGCAGTGATTTTTGGTGGCACACAGCCAGAATGACAAAAATGTTCGCCGCAATCCCCACAACCGACGTGATCAATAGAACCAAGCAGTTTGCAACTACAAGGGCGACGTCAAAGTGCTGCTCCCAAACCGTGATGTTCCCAGAGTCCCACTCAGGTGTGGGCTCGCCTCTCATCTCCCAGTTCAAAGAGTCATCATGCTCAGCTGTCCGTCGTTACTCTTTACATGCTCCTCTCGTTGCAGAGCATCTCTGGTGAATGAATAATGGCTTGGACAAGTTTCTCCAAAGCACCCGCCCTTTTCATTATCACCCCACAGCACCACTGGGTCACCTGGGAGTCCTCACTGTTCACATTCATTAAAAACTCTGCAGTGTATTCACAGCAGAGAAAACTGAGGGACCTATAGAGGGTTGGTAATTGAATAGCAGTCGTGGTGTCACTATCGTCTCATCCCTGACATAAATGACTTCATAAGAGTAAGCAGGGTTTTAAATCTGGAACCTATGTGATGGTGCTGAGATAAACACGCGAATGAGCTGTCTGTTTTGCCGCAGAAGGAGGAAAAGCTTGGCGTTGGTGGGAATGCCAGATGGATGAGTTAGGAATTCTTGAATTGGCTCAGGAAATGATAGGAGCGGTGCTGCAGGATTATAGTATGACATTGTGTAATCCTGTTTGGAGATAACGTGTGAAATGCTCTTTGCTTCAAATGTGGAAGCTTATAAACTACAATAAATCTGGGATTAGATTAAAGCAATACATTCTTGACCATCCAAACTAATACAAAGGAAAACAAAGTAATATGAAAGAGGGTAAAAGCTTGGGAAAGTAAACTGCTGAAAGACAGACATTGATTTGTTTCACTCCATTCCAGCTCTGTTGACAGATTTAAAGGCCTGAACCTAGAAAGCAATCACTGCAGCTTCAGGATAATGTACGATGACGGAGCTCCAGACAGTTCATTTAGAAGCAGATTCCCATTTACAGTATTAGCTGTAAGTGTTACAAACAGGTGTGTGTGTGTGTGTGTGGGGGGGGGGGGGGGGGGGGGGAATCAATCAGCAACAACCAAACGTGTTACAGCAAACAAAACAAAGGGGACTTCATGACGACAGACCCTCTAACTTGGTAATTGAAAACAAGAGTTACAGACCGCTGTGTGCTACATGCAGCTCTGTCTGATAACAGTTACAGCTAAGCAGTCACACAGCCTGAAACATACGACATCAGTGAAAAAAGTAACAGAAAGGTCTGCAATTCACCAGTTAACCAGCAGAACACAATAAATGAATTATTAATTGTCGTGGTAGCAATGGTGAGGGAGACAGGAAGATGTAGCGAACAGATGGGTGGATGTACTTTAATCTCAACCTTGGAAACCGTTGCAACAAAGAATGTAACATTAGAGTTAAAAAATGTGTTAATTGAAATAAATTAAGTTATATATTTTGTAATATTGTGTTTTAAAACTGCAACAAAAAAAAAGAGAGATTTACCACCCATTTATTACTTATTCATGCTGAGGGTTGCAGGGGCAAGACGTGGAGTCCAGCTTGGGCAGGTTAACAGTCCAGCAGAAGGACAGACAGACGAGACAACTGTGCACACTGGACAATTTAGCAAACCTAGGGAACATTATTTGCATATTTTTGGAATTTTGGAGAAAGGTTTTTGCTCTTGCAGAAAGACTACAGCTACGTCAGACATACAATCATCCTGCTGCAAGGCTGCCAGCCTGCAAAATATAACATAATCTCTGCTAAGAAAAGAGCCTGTATTATAGCTCGAGGTATGAGTTTGTTTTTGTGTGTGTTGGTCTGAGGCAGGAAGGACTTCCTGTACCTGCAGAGCTCTACTCTACTGAGGGTGGTGGAGAGGAGTTTCAGTTGTTGGCTTTTCCTCATTTAGATAGTGTGTATTTGTGTATTACTTTTTCATTTGTATCAACAGGGAAGAAGAAAACAATAATTTATGATATAAAGATGGGGGTGGTTAAACAAGTATGCACTTCTCAGTCTTTTACTTTATTTCTGTTAGTTGTTGGTCATGTTTTTCTTTTTTCTTTACTGTGTCGTATGTACATGTGTGAAATAAAAGCCGAATGAGTGAACATGTCCAATCTGGCAGCCAAATTCAATTAAAAATACTTAATTAGTTCCAGAGGGAAATTAAACAATGTCAATAATTGAGCCATTCTTTATTAGACTTTTATTTTATCTGTTGGTTGCTGGTTCAAATGCTGCTCCCTTCACAACATCAGGAGGAAACCCCGAGCTGTAGCAGACTGATTAGAGAGCTCCTTCACCATGCTACACATGTGGAAGGGTGCACATTTTTTGTGTGGGGTCTTCAGTCAGTCTTGGTAACACCAAGGCCACCACCTCCTCAATGATTTCCTCTTCCTAACTTTCTCTCTCTGGATTAGCAGAAGATCCGGACAACAATGCAGCAGAAAACGTGACTATGAAACTTCACAGCTTTTCAGACAACAGTCGCATCAGAACTGAGATGCTGGATCAGTGCAAAGAGCAGTTTGATCAGATTATGATTAGACATTTTTCCTTTTATAGTTTGTTTACACCAAGGCAACGTGGTTCTGTAATACTCTGGGATTAGTGTGGGTTCTTACATTTTTCTGCATTTGAATCAAACCAATGAATGTTTCTTGTAAAGGGACTCCTCCTCGCACAAAATACAATAGATTAGTAGGTCAGTGAGCAATTTAATCCAGACATGAAAGCGTTTTGCTGCTTGATTATCTCCCCAAAGTTACATTAAACAAGCTGTGCTGTAAAATATGGTTTTAATAAGAAAAATGTTTTGTTTTCCCTAAAGGAATCACTACAATTGAGGAATTGATTGGAACTTAAACAGTGCATTTGTTGTTTCTCTGTACCCAGGTATGTACTGTAATTAAACATGGTGCCATTTTCCAACCATATGAGTGAAATCACCTAAAATGCTGCTGATGTTTGGTTGTTACATAATCTACTATAAATACACTACTGGGCCACTGGAGTGTAGATTGGATGATTGATGCTGATGTCATTTTATTTAAATATTTTTTATGTAATTATAATAAGCAGGGGTATATGTATGTTCAGTTAAATCCAAGCTGCAGAAACTGGCCTTTTGGTTGTGGTGATGATGAGCGTTTCAACATCTGACAACTTGAAGTAAATAAATATCTAACATCCATACAAGAGATGTCTTTCCACACAATATGGAACCAGGTTCATTGCATTGTATTCACCGAACAAAAGAACTTCCCTTCATCTGTTTTTCACTGCCGTCTGGCTGCGATTGCTTTGTCTGTTCTTGTTAAAATGCAAACAAATTTTATTCAGCATTTTTCCTTTTGTTGCTTTCATTATAGTCTTCTTTTGAATAGACCCAAACACATTTTTAAACTTCAGAGGTAACGGCTGACTGACCTAAAACAAGCCGAGGTAATGGAACTGTCTGATAGATAACTCTCGTTGTGACTCAGTGAGTCAGATGGAGGAAAGTGAAGAACACTCAGTGATGGAATGTTTGTTCTATAAATGCTAAAGCAGATGGAAAAAGTGGATTATAGTGCACCTTTTACATATTTCATCTTTTTGTTCTGTTGTCATGCAAAATGTTTCAGATCAACAAGTAAATGTCACAGATACCCTGAGTAAAAACTAAATTCAAATGTTGATTTTTTTTTATTATGACGATAAATCCATCATTGCCAACCTGGTTTTCTGTGTAAAGGTCATTGACCCCTACGCCGTTGAAGGAAATAACTGCAATCAAGGGCGCACAATAACCACTAATGAGTCTCTTACATCGCTGAAGGATTGGAGGGTTTTCCAACATGAGCAGACCTGTTAAAGGTCAAAGGTCGTGATTCATCACATTTAACTCGTGATTTAACAAGTGAGACGATTACTTTATCACATAGGACCAGGTTGGTTTGGATAGCTGTTTTCCTTTAATTAAAAAAAAGAAAACATTCTTTGAAATCTGTTAATTCAAGTTATTGATGTCTGAAATCACAATTTGTTTTCTGATTCGAAACAGCAAAAACTGATGAAACCTTTCAGGTAGCACATACTTTTTTGCAGCGCTGTACTGTAAAGTTTTCCTTCAGTGCAAACTGAATTTGTTCAGAAACAGTGTGGATCTCTAAAAGCCACGAGCCAGCAGACATTTAGCTCTGTGTCCTTGATGAGGCACCAACAGACACACAACTGCTGCACCTTGTTTGCTTCGGCTGGCAGGAGTCGCAGGAAACACCTCGTTGTGCTTGTTGGCGCTCCTGCTTGTGGAGGAAAGACAGCTCCTCCCATTTCAAAAGGATGCTGACGCCGGTAGGCCCAAGGGGAACATATCGCCTGCACGACAACACCTCCAGAGCTCTATCACGCAACTGGTAGATGTAAAAAATATATAAATAAATAAAATGCACACACACACATACTGTCAGGAAATGTATATTCAATTAAATTATGTTTCCCTGCTGTCTCAGTTGTATCTCTCCTGAGCAGATGTAACTGCTTACCTGTTAGTTGGAAAGGCGGTAGATGATGGGATTATGGACGAGGCTGGTCTTGGCAACGCTGCGACTAGCAGAGGGATGTGCAGCTCTGGATTTACCACTGAAGGCGCCATGCACAACAGCCAGCACACAGGAGAGAAAATGCCACAGTCATTGGCAGGATAATACTAATAGCGTGCTCGTTCTCACTCTGCCTTGAACCTTGCAGCTCAATTATCTTGTTCAGCTGGTGGAAAAATTAGTTTGAACACCATGAAATCATACAAACAAACTCCTTTGGCCATTTTCCTCCAGTGCAGCTCGACTCGGCTCAGCGCGGTTCCAAGGCATGTCCACCAGTAATAGCTACCGGGTTGCCGCCTTCTTTTAGTCCTAACTTCTATGCGGATCCAAGCATCCAAGCTGGGCCTAAAACACAACATCTAAACGTTGCGTGAACGACTAGGGCGTGGCCAGGGGGGATGCCAGAGATTTTGGGCCCCATGAAAAAATATCAAGTTGGGCCCCATGGGGGCTCATCCATAGCTGGAGCTGGGGTTCCACCCTCCCAGATTCGAAGGTTGAAAAAAATATAATATATATATACTTTATATTAGTGTTTCAGTTTTGCTTAATTATGTAGGTCTATATGCATTCTTACTTATTTACATATAATTTTCACCAGCTGTCTCTCATTAAACAGTGAATTTCCTTCAACAGAATTAGCAATATCACTGCTGGAAAAAGCAGGAAATGCACATGCTGAAAGGTGTTAATCTCCTTTTCCCTATTACTCCCTTAAAATGTGTTTATTTACTCTAAGATCTTATTTGATGATAAAATTCAAATTTGGATATCTAATTAAATTTCCATGTTGTGTCAAAGCTTTACATAACTACATTTTCAGCTGTCTTTCCTCTAGAAATCAAGTATTTCTGTATGACTGACAAAAATTAAGGACTCACTGCTCACAAGGTGACTTCTTTGTTTTTGAACCCAGTCATTAAAATTAATGCACAACAGGGAACATGCTGCACAGACTCCTGCAGGATATTAGCTGTAGTTCACCATCATCAATACTAGATTTCATATTTTATTGTGTTCAATGTTACCGTAAATTCTCTTATACAGGCCCGGGCCTGTATTTGGCTCAAGCTCATCAAGCTCCAGGCCTTTATTGGAAGGAGGGCCAGTATTAGAGGCAGGTCTCTATTTCTATTTGAGCAAAATGAACTAATGGTTCGTTGGAGTTTTTGACAATTAATATTGAGCCCACATTTTCAAAGTTAAACACATTTCTTTTAACAACGGTAGTTTCTGCTTCAGCCATCTCCCCCCTCCCCCTGCGCAGCGGCCGCAAACTCACTGATGCGCCTGCAGCCGCTCAGAGTTCCTGCTGCTCTAAACATTAAAATAATTATTTCATTTTCTGTTCCTCACTTCTGATTACCTTCAATGGTGTCTGTTTGTTGCAACCAGCAGGTACAAAAACTAACTTGTTTTTATTTGACTATTTTTCTGTCCTGTCTGTTTATTATCTTCCTGCATCTCCTCTCAATCCTAAAGAGAAACTGCTACCTGGGTTCATATATATTCACCTTATGAGTTACCTTTGAACTGCAGTTCTAAAAGATCTACCGACCGCAAAAACAGCGGAGTGCTCGCTGCTTGCCGGCCGCATCAGTGATCAGTGCGTCACCGGATGACAAGTTGATGCGCCCCGCTCCACAGCAAAACGCATCAGGCGCAAATAAAAGACAGAAAACATCAAAGGAAATGAACCGACATGAACGATTGCGTGTTAAATAATTTGGCAACACCTGATTGTTACTGTGGCTGTGCTCAGGAGGCAGATTACCGACCGCAAAAACAGCGGAGTGCTCCCTGCTTGGCGGCCGCATCAGTGATCAGTGCGTCGGAGGACAAGGTGATGCGCCCCGCTCCACAGCAGCGAAACACATCAGGTGCAAATAAAAGACAGAAAACATTAAAGGAAATGAGCCGACATGAACGATCGCGTGTTAAATTAGTTTTTGAGGTGGCGACACCTGATTGTTACTGTGGCCGTGCTCAGGAGGCAGATCTACCAACCGCAAAAACAGCGGAGCGCTCCCTGCTTGGCGGCCGCATCAGTGATCGGTGCGTCGGATGACAAGGTGATGTGCCCCGCTCCACAGCAGCGAAACACATCAGGTGCAAATAAAAGACAGAAAACATTAAAGGAAATGAGCCGACATGAACGATCGCGTGTTAGTACCGACCCTCTGGCAGAGCGCGTTGCCCCCCCGAGCGCAGGAGCTTGTCACCTGCTGACAGCAGGCTGCTGTCTTTTCCGAGGGCTGCATCTTGCCGGTCATTATCACGTGACAGCGACTAGTCGACGACAGGCATAAAAAGTCACTATAGTGAAGTCGACTAGTTCATACAACCCCTATTGCTCCCCAGTGTTCTGCAGCGCACGTTCTCTTTGAACTTGATATCAAATTTTCGCCTCCTCTTCGTCTCCGCACGGTTAAAGTTACCCTCGCGGTCTATCACTGGCAAATCAAAAGTGAGACGATGACACAACCGCCCCCTGTACTTGCTTGTTACCACATTCCACCCGGCCACAATAAGAGACCGGCCATTATTCACCTCCACCGACTCCGACCAAAATTGGAGACCCGACCTTTAATTGAATGCCGGCCTGTATTAGAGGATTTACGGTATATTAAGTTTATTTATTACAATTGTTAATAACTTTTGTTTCATTTTTGCTCTCTGATGAATTATTTGGAAATGACTGATTTTTGGTTTGTGTTCTAAAAACTACATAAACAAATTACATCTTGTAAAACCTCCCATAATTCAGTCAGATTCAAAACATTTCATTTCAAGGTATTTAGTAGATGAAGAGGGGTTTTTTTTCCTTGTATGGTGCCTTCAAAAAGGTGCTTCACAGTAATAATCTCACAGTAATTTATGTTACATTAACAGACTAAATAACAATGCTTCAACCTGCCCAGCATCCAAAACAATCTATATATTTTTACTGATTGATCTTTCTAATTATCATTATGTGGAAAAACAATGAGTCTATCACCAAAAATTGCCTTTTTATATTCCTTTGTAATAGTACTGATAGAGAAGAGAGCCTTAAGTGATTCCCACAGACCCCCTTAAATGAGGCTGCTAGCTAACATGCTACAGTGCTCACCTTCTTGAGGTTCATTGGGTTGTGAGGGGACACCTGCTGACATATCATCAGCTGCTGATTCTGGTGGGGACAAGGACAAACACCCATTTACCATAATTAGATGAAACATAGTTCCTCTCACTGTGGATATCAGAGCTAGCAAACAGGCTGAATTTAACCACTCACTAACTAAACCCACCTTTCTTTGAGAAAAACTGTGTGACATACTGGGGCCCTGTCTTCTGCCTGTCCTCTTTCTCCTTTCTTTCTTTCCTTTTCTGTGACCCAGACTTTGTTTTTGCAGACATAGTTTTACTGCAGCCTTGACGCACTCTGCTGTCTGACTGCTAGTAGTCTTGCCTGTTACGCCCCCTCGGCCAGGTGGACTGTACCATTTTACGCCGTTAGGAGTGTGTGTGTGGGGGGGGGGGGGGGGGGGGGGGGGGGGCTTGTCAAATTAATTAGTCAAAATAAAGTAGCGACCTCAGAATAAATATACATTTCACAAAGACTAAAAGATTGTTTGTTTAATGTCTTAAATGAGAAAAAATACTGCAAAGTAAAGTACTTGTGATTTTTAAACTTTTTATTTTTTTATTCGACTTAGAAACTTTTTTGGGCCCCTGACAGCTGTGGGCCCTTAGAATCTTCCTAATCTCTCACCGCTTTACGGCGCCCCTGGGCGTGGCACCACTAATTGGTTAGGGGTAGAGGCAGTGATTGGTTAGGGGTGGAGACTGATAGCTCCAGAGTATTTTACCATGTTGCCTGTAGCCTTTTTCTGTGTCTTTTGTTTTTCGAGTCAGATAAAAAGTTAAAGCCCCATTAATTCAGCACAAACTTGTGAAATTCATCTCCGCATTTGACCCATCCCTGTGGGGAGCGGTGAGCTGCAGCTGTGGCCACGCTCAGGAACTATTTGATAGTTTAACCCCCCAATCCAACTCCTTTAAAGCTGAGTGTCAAGCAGGGAGGCATTGGGTACCCATTTTAAAGTCTTTAGTATGACCTGACTGGGATTTGAACCCTGATCTCTCAGTCCCATGGAGGACACTATCACTAGGCCACTGAGAAGGCGAAAAGCCACAGATTGATCAAAATGTTCTAGCCAGGTCCATACCAAATGTTCAACAACAATACCATGTCTTGTGTTTGTGTCAGATACAGACCTCACTCTGAGGTTTTGCCTGTCTCTGGAGGCTGCTCCGATGAGGAGCACACCCACTAGAGCCATTTCCCAGTTGTAATGGAATCCCTCTTGAGAGGCTAGAAGGTTGTTATCATCCTTCTAATCACATTTGTAAATGTAAGTCCAGTGAAGATTTACCGATAGCCTCACTAGTCTTACCAGCAGAGCAGAAGTGGCCCTTTTTCACTAGCGCCCACTCAAGGTTCGACCTGATTCGACTCAACTCAGTACATCTTCATGGGGCTTACATCTACAGCTGATTCACTTCTGAAGTCAAGGATTTCGCTAAAGTCAATCAGATGCATAAATGAACATGATCTAGGCAGTTTTACTGGTGCTGACACCTGATGTGGTTGAGTCCTTCTCAACATATACGCCACATCCAGTAAACTGGGTGGGCGGTTGCAGCATTCTATTAACCAGATCTGCTAATCCCATTTCTAATTATAAGATGACCTTAAACCCTGACATGAAGGATGGTGGGTATTCTGCATTTCTTCAGGAAACAGTTTTCTGATTTCAAGTCTAAGAAACTAAATTTTAAGATTTTTGTTTCACGTTAGAAGCAGCAGCCGCAACATACATTTAGATGGAAACCAAAAGCACTTTAACAGAAAAGCATTTGATGTTTTTTAGCTGAAGTCTGTCAAAGAGGATGATTTGATACTGGGGGGTGTGCCATCCCCCCCCCCGAGCTAGGAAAAGCTGTGGTTTTGTGAAGGTGGTGATCAGCAAACCACGGAAAGGGAGCAGATTTCTCAACACTACACCACACGGAAGGACAGGATGCTGAAGCCCACCAGAGGGAAAGTACTCAGCATCTTCTAAGAGGCTGGAGGTTAACTGGAGCTACATGATGTTTTATTGTTGTTAATGAAACGTTCCAACTTCAGAAGAAAATCAGAATCAGAGATTTATGGCAAAACTTGGAATCCTGGATCTCCGGCCGGACACCTGTCTGAATAAAAACCTCATCAAAAAATGTTGTATAAGACAATTTAAGGGGGTTAAACACCCAATAAAATAATAACCCACATCAGCTATTATAATTAGAAAGTTTATTTTATTAACCAAACAATCCTCTAAATTTGATTCCACTTTCTAGAACAACTTAATGATTAACCATAAACTAGAACCTACAATAAATGCAGCCGGACACATGATAAATTAAATCCCATTACAGCAACTGTCAGACCACTTTAATAACACCGGTGCTGTGAGGATCAGCTCATTGACCTTCTAATGGTAGATAAAACAAAGAGCATCAACAAATCCTCAAACAGAAGGTCCTAGAATGGTCAGTGTCACTGCCAATAAAATCCCATTTTCTAGGATTTGTCTTTAATCTCAAGACAAGTTCAAATGTTTCACCAGTCCTCTTTAAAAATCTCAACTGCTTCCACACACCAAATAGCAGCGCTCACACAAATTAAAGCAACAATGCTCCATTATTCCAGGTAAAAATTAAATAATGAAAACTGGACATGCAGGCTGGCTTCGATGGAAATGTTTGCAACCATTTGACATTAGGCGTGTGTATGTGTGTCAATGTCAAGCCTACATTTAAATTTAATCTACCTAAATACATAGTCTGCAGTGATGTGAACAGATTAAGTCAATGGAGTTTGGAGCCTCAGAGTAAAATTCCTACTGCAGCAGCTGAAGAGTACGACAATAAGGCAACACAAATACATATAAAATCTGGTGTATGACTGCCCCCTACTGATTGGATGGTATAAAATGCACCATTTCTCTTAAATAAATTTACACGAGTTTGGCTTTAAAAGCAAACATTCATCCTCTCTTCCTCCTTTGAAAGGACAACTATAAATAACTGGATTAAATAATCTCAAACTTCAACAGTTTCCTTGATTATGACAATCTGATAGTTCTAAATAACTACCCCCCAAAGCGCTTTACAACACAATCAGTCTTTCACCCATGCACACACATTCACACCCTGGTGGTGATGAGCTATAACATAGCCACAGCTGCTCTATGGTGCACTGATGGAGGCGAATTAATAATATCGATTGCTTCGGTTAAGACTTCCTGAACTATTTAGGTCAGACTTTGCTTCAGTCCTGCAGAGGCGGAGAAGATGCAGAAGGATCGTGTTCGGGTCGAAACAAGGCCTCGTGTTGAAGAGGAGTGCGGCGAGGGAAGAAGATGTGCTTGAGGTCATAGTTGAGCAGGCAGCTGATGGTGGCCATGTAGATGTCAGCAAAGCGGGAGAGTCGCCGTGAGAAGTAGGTGGGGTTATGATCTGTGCGGAAGAGGCTCCCGAACTGAGCGTTGAAGATGTCTTTGGTATGTGGTCTGCCATGAAAACACACAATGATGCATGATTATTTCAGTTTAACAAGCAGAACCTGACTGCTTTTCAACCCCTAAGGAGTTATCTTCATTACTTCATGGCTTCTCTTTCTTTTATCCACTCCTCGACCACAGCTTGAGTCGCGGGATCTCTGTGCACCTGTTCAAAGGCAACACATCACAGATAATCACAAAGCTGTTCGGATAAGAAGAAGTCAGATATAACAATGGTAAGTAAGAAGATTAACCAGATGTTGGATAAAGTCTTCTGACCTGCATCTGTTCGATGAGTCCAGTTAGCGCTTGTAACCAGGTCATCATGTGAGCGTACTGCTGTGTGTTCATGATCTTGATCTCCTTCCGCAGCTCAGGGATGATGGCGCCTGTCCTCCAGCCATGTTTCAGAGTCAGATCCTGATGATCAGAGAAGATCCAGCTAGAATACAAGTTCTGCCTGCACAGCATTTGTTTATCTCAAGGATCTAAACACAGAGAAGGAATAATAAACCCAAAGGATTGATCCTGCTGGTTTCAGGTAAATTTGCAGTGCAGCATTTATTCTTTATTTATGCCAAAGCTTCAGCAGCACAGCCACTCTGTCAAAGCAGATCTGTGTGCTGCTGAAATGACATTTAACAGTTCAGCAACACACACTGCAGCTGCACAAATAAGGTAGAAGGAAGTGCACCTAGTCCTACACCACAACACTGGGAGTTTATTACAACAGCTCAGAGGAGCAAAAGGAAGCAACAGACCCAGAAACAAAACAAACACCTCAGAAAACGTTTCTAAAAACATTCTGAATTCTGTTTGGTGTTCTGCTTTGCTGAGTTTATTGTTTTACTGCGTCTTGGCCAGGTCGTCATTGTTGATGAGATTAGGTTCTGCATCGCCTCACCTGCTTAAATGAAGGCTAACTAAATAAACTGCAGAGATATTCTACAGTTGTGTTTTGTTTTAGTACTAGTTTATTACTGTATTATTGCTCTGCGGAACATTTTTGTTTATTTACTAAACATTCAACAGAAACTCTGAAGTGTAATAGTCCCCCTAGTGGCTGTTTCCAGTACAACTATTTAGCTCCACCCCACATATAAAAGAATAAAAGACTTTACTAATTAAAAAATAAAAATGTGTCTCAGAAAATATTTGTTTTGCTGCAGCTGCGTGATTAAAGAGTCATTTTTCTCGTACTTTTAGTGGTAATTATTTATTTGTTGCTTAAAACCCCAGGATTGTGAGTAGGCGTCCAGCTTTTCCAAAAACCAATTATCTGTAGTATTTTTCAGTTTTTTATTCTATCCTATATTTTATGTGTTTTTGGTTTGTTTAGTGAAAATATATGCCATCATTTAATGTTATTTTGGTCTATTTTAAATAGTCAATTTTATTATGTGTTTTCTTGCAGAAATGCTGTTTGAATGCTGGATAGCTTAAACTGTTAGCTGAATCAGCTTAATAGCTGAACTGAAGCTGAAAGTAAGCAAAACTTTCAAAATGAGCTGAATGTGTTGAAAGATGTAGAAGCAAAAATCACTAACAAGCATATAAAGCACAAAAAGTAAGTGAAGAATGGAGAAAAATAATCCTAAATAGCAAAAAACTGAAATCTTTGAACATTGTATAAAATCTGGACAGCTAAAATGTCCTGTTATTTCAGTTGGACACGTTTAACAGTTTAATCTTTACATTTAGCTGAACTGTGAAATTAGCAGCTTATGCTAAATTTGGTAACTGATTGCTGAAGTTGTTGAATAGCTGAAGTAAAGCTGAAACTAAGCTTAACTGTCAAAATGAGCTGAATGTAGTGAAAGATTTAGAAGCAAAAATCACCAACAAGTGTAATAAAGCTCAGAATAAAGATGGAGAATGGACAAAAAATGCTAAACAGCAGAAAAATTCAATCTTTGAACATTGATTGAAAACTCAAAATTTGAAAAGTTAAACAGCTGGCATTTGAATGAGAATAGTTTAACGGGTACATTTTTACAAATGGCTGAACTGTGAATTTAGAAGCATTTGCCGATATCTGAAACTGATAGATTAACATATGTTCAGACTTTATATGGGATGGAAGAATAGTTGGATGAATGGAATGATGATGGATGGATTGTTGGATGGAAGTTAGATGGTTTTCTGGATGGATGGATGGATGGATGGATGGATGGATGGATGGATGGATGGATGGATGGAAAGAAGCATGGATGGATTTATATGTGGATGGATAGATTCCTTAGGTTAAAAAAACCTACAAGAGTAAGAGTTCAAAAAAGTGATAGGATTTAGCTGAAAATTGAGCAATCCCATTAATTTCAATGGGACCAAAAATCGCAGAAAATGCTGAATATCTCAAAAAGTATAAAATATGTTAATACCAAAAGTCATTGCTGGCATAAGCTGAACGAGCTGAACGTTTTGATACCAAAATTGTGTAAATAGTTGGAAGAATTGTGGAAGTAGTTAAATGCCAAAAAACGTACGAAAGCAGAATAATAAACTAACAAACTAGCTATAAACAGAAACAGGATCACTATAGTTTGCAGCATTCAAACAATTATTTCTATCACACTTAAGAGTGGATTTGAAACCCATTCATGATTTGGAGAATGTATTCTGGATTTTGTGTAACTGAAACACTTCTGTATTTATTCTCTCACGGGACTCTGCAGCCAGTCTGATGGTGAGCTGTCCTTGGTGTAAACCACAAACGCCCACTTCCATCTTTTTAAACAACATAAGTGACTTGTGGCTGGCGGGCACTGACTGGACATCATGCCAGAGATGAAAATTTGATCTTTCAATATCAGTCTTTACAGCTGACCACGCATATCCATACATACATCAGACTCTCTTATGTAAGATACAGTTTATCCACCAAACAAACTACAGTGGTGCTCAGTAGGCTTTATGGTCTGAATATGGAACAAGAACACCAAAGCGACATCTAGTGTGTGGAGGTTGTAGCTGCAACAATAAAACAAGGTTTCCAGCCGTCAGGATACCAGTAACTGCCGACACATAAAATGTTTTATTTGGGTCCATCTCTTTGTAGGCTTCACCTAAACTCACTCTTGTTTTAGATCTTTAAATGTCGCTCTTCTTCTGAGAAGGATAATGACATCTTCTGGGCTCAGAAGCAGCTGCTTGACTTTGCGTAGTTCGCCATTTTCCACAGTGCCAGCTTTGCCGAGCCGAGCAGAGCCAACTGTTTGGTTGGTAAATGCAAGCATAAGAGTTGTGCTCGTCAAAATAATAATTTAATAATTTTTTAATTGAAACATAGCTTTTAAAGGAAATGCTGTACCTTCAGTTTGCTCACCTCTAAACGCCCTGTGGTGGTTTTATTTTTTAAAACAATATAGCTTTTTGTTAAATAAATAAATGATAAATGACCTTGTACAGCGCCTTTCAGAGTCGGAGGACTCCAAAGCGCTTTACACTACAATGTATCATTCACACACTGATGATGATGAGCTGTAATGTAGCCACAGCTGCCCTGAGGCACACTGACAGAGGCGAGGCTGCCGAGCACGGGCGCCATCAGTCCTTCCGACCACCACCAGTAGGCAAGGTGGGTTAACTGTCATGCCCAAGGACACAACAGCAGAATTCTTTGTCCGGAGCCGGGATTGAACCTGCAACCTTCCAATTACTAGACAACCTGCTCAACCTCCTGAGCTACTGCTGCTCCAGTAGCAGTATAACTGTTCCATATTCAACCTTTAATGCGTTAAGTTAGTGACCATTAATATTCTCACCTACATTTTCTGATTTAGGTAAATATTTATTTTTGTATTTCACAAACGAAAGTTTGGTGAAACTGCAGGGAAAACTGTTTTAGCACCTGGCTCTGCAGCATAATACTTTTATGTTTTTCTTTCAGAAGGTTGGCTAGAATGGTGCAGCATACGCTTCAAATACATTATTTACTAAGATTTGTGCCTCACAATTCACTCCCAATCACACCGTTGTTTGCCCTGGGGGGGGCTTTTCTTTCCTTATACACAAGATAAGGCTGTGTGTTGCAATGCAGAGGTTACACAGGTGCTTCTGACAGGAAAGAGAACGAGAATCTGTGTGGCATGTTGATGACATGTTTTCTGAATAGTTTGGATGTTAATATTTGCTTGTTAGTTGAGCTTTGTAGACAGTAGGATCTGTTTCATGGCTTTTACCACCACCGTTTTCAGAAACAGTGAAACAGAAAGCTGTACAAAGACAACAAAAGAAAATAGTGAGGATGCATTGATGCATTGCAGGTTTTTCATTCAAATGCCTTCTGGAATAAAGTCTGTTAACAGGAACCCCAGAAGGTAACAGCAGACTGCAGTGATAGCTGGTTGTTGTAGAGCTGTAAAGTAGGCTATTTATTTTTTATCATTGGTCTGGAAGTAAATCTTAAATGAGTCTCCTTCTCTTATATTTCTAGGTGAATCTGGAACCACAGACATAATAAAGTTGAACACAGTAAAACTTGTATAATTTTACATGTGATCTGAGCCAAGGCGAGCGTGTTAAATACCCAAACAGGTGATCAGGTTTCTGTTTAAGCAGTCAGCACAGCGGCGACCACAAACAAGCTGATAATGTCCTGGGACTCTGCTTCTGTCATTAAAATGAGCTGCGTTTGTGAATAATGACGCTTCTAGAACTGGATCTGCAGAGCAGGACTCTCCCGGTGGTGCATTTTCTGAAATGCAGATTAAATTTCTCAGAACAGTAAAAATGGCTCATAGACTACTAAACAAATAAATCCAGTCAGGATAATTCCTTTAACTTAAAAAGAAACAGGTTTTTTTTTTTGCTGTTGTTTAAATTCCAATCAGTGATTAATGTTCTGTAATAATTATTTTACTGTGAAAATGTACGGATGCTGCTTACTGCCAAGTCGCTATAAATGTGATCTCCAAAGTAAAGTACTTTGGATCCCCTCCAGCCGGTGAGTCTGAGGAACTCGTACAGGTTTCCCTGTAAATCAAATACATCTACATTAAAAATGAGACAGAACCACATAAGGTCACAGGGACATTTCCTGGCACATCACCTGTTTGTAGATTTGCCCCCTTTCCAACCTGTGGATTCTGTCCCACAGTAAAGCACCTTTATCTGTCACTCGCCTGAAAGGTCTGTCAGAAATAGACACCAAATCTTAGCATTTGTCAGCAGCTCAAAAACCCATGTGAATGGGTTTTATTTAGGACCTACTTACTTCCTTCTGTCATTAAAGAAACTAGGTTTGTCAGCCTGGACAATAACAACATCAAACAGGTCCCTCCAGTCCTCTCCCACGATGTAGCTCATTCCACGATTCCTGAGAATCAGAGAGAATTTTATTGCCAGCGCTCCAGCGAACCAGAGCATATGAACTTGACTCCACAAAACAGCCTGACCAAGGTTACACACACACACACATATAGACAGAACAGATACAGGCAGATCAAAGGAGGACAAAGGATCAAGATGAAGATGGCCACCACAGCTATTTTTAGCCAAATCCAAACTCAGTTTTTAGCTGCAATGACAGTGATTCAGTCCCAAGTCAAAATCATCCTAAATCATCAAAATAATTAAGGGATTCCAGTCCAAACAGCACACAGAGAAACTGGTGTGTTGCAACGGTGTAGTGCTGTTAGCACCAGTGTTGGGAAAGTTACTTTCCCATCCAGGGCTCTTGTTTATTGGGTCTTTGGTAATTTAAGACCTCTGGAAATTGTATTTAAGGATTATTTGTCATTTTTAAGGATTTTTAAGGTCTTAAATCTGGAAAAGCTAATTTAAGACTTTTAAGGACCCACAGATACCCTGATAAAGGCACTTGACAGTCACACATGCACATGATTACAGCACCTCCCTGCTTACATAAACCACCTTTTCACAACTTTCCACACTGATTAGGAATTAGAGTAATTAATATTTCAGTACGAAGTTCAAGGATGCTTCAGGATCAAACCACCGACCATCCAATTATGAACGACCTTCCTTAGCCACCTCCAGCTAGAGAAGCTTCCAGTGGTTCCTGCATGCATTTTAAAACCTATTCATGACATCAATCTACCAACCAGTTTGAAACACACATTTAATTAAACGCGCAGCTTGTTCTTATCGCTGTGACCATTCAATACTACAAACAAGAACATCATTTCAGGGATTTTAGGCTCTAGGAAATCTTCTGATGTTCAATTCCCCTACTGATCAATTTGTGCAAACAGCCATGACTTCAAAAGGCCCCACAGTCGATAGCTTACTGTACCAATTTGCAAACACGAGCCATCTGATGCGTGTTGACCCATCTATGAAAAACTGGGACATTATCCCAATGGCAATGATTTAACATTGTCACCTAAACATGTAAGCTTCAGAAGTATTCTTTTCGTTAAACCCTCAATTTGATCTCACTTACACAAAGTCAAAAGGGCTGTTGGTGATGAGAAACATCTTCTTTCCGTATGCTGACAGCTTCCTCAGCACAGCGTGGCTTTGCTCACCATAACAAATGTATTTCTCTGGAGGAGAAAGAGGGTTCAGAATCAGTTTTTATTTAGTTATCATACCTGGATTATGGGTTAATCACTCCGATGTGTTCATTTTTCTTTAATTAGGGGGTATAATGTAAAAATTGTTACCTGTATCTGCCTCCACTGCTCGATACATGATGCCCTTGACGTGAACATCTCTGATTGCTTCCTGTGAGGAGGAAATGTAAAACAGTCCTCAACCAGGAAGTCACGACAGCAGATTAGCATTCAGCTCCGACAGCAACTTTACTCTGTGTATAAACGGTTGACTTGGAAGCATGAGGAAAATGCACTTCGGAATACCAATGAAACAGGAGAAAAAGCAGGAGTTAAGATGCTTTGTGAGAAACCTTAGAAATCTGCACACTTACGGTTAAATGTGGAACCTTCATCACACACACACACACACACACACACACACACACACTATCTGATGCAATCAGATCATAAGGAGGAACAAAAAGATTGAAAACATTAAGGTCAATACTGCATTATTAACCAGGAAAGACGAAGAACAGGGAGGGTCGTCCTTGGAAAGATATGAAAAGCATTCTTCAAACGGAGCACGTGTGAGGGTTTTTTAATGACAGCTATCTGTCAAAAACGCCGCAGCGTCACACGGAGCGGAGAGTAGCAGCGACGACAGCTGGCCTCAGAGGGAGAACACAGAGCGGATTTCTCTCCACTCCGCCTGTGAAGCAGCGGAGCCACGTGGCTGGGGGGCGAGAATGCTCGACTAAAATTAGAAGCTGCTTTTGAGGGCTAAAATTAAGATGGCATTGAATAGCTGGAGTTTTACTGCAATGTGTAAACACATTAACACTCGTGCACATATGGAGCTTTATTTGTTTAATCACTCACACACATGAGAGTGGGAAGAAAAGACAGTAACCTTTACGTCTTTGTAGAGATGGACGGGCTCATAGTCGATGTTGTGCCTCATGAAAAAGTCGTTGACACAAGAGAGGAGCGTCATCTCAGGGAGGGAGAATATGTCCATGAACTGCTTCATCGTGTGTTCGTGTGTGCTCTGCAGGACAGATACAATCATTCCTGTCCATTTTTAAGCCTTCTGGATTTATTTTCGCATAAGTAAGTGAAGAAATTTTCGTCACCTTGCCATAGAAGTCACTCATGATCTCTAAAGGCACATGACTTCCTTCGTACATGGCTATCACTTCCTCATCGGGAACCGGATCAAGACCTCTATATCCCAAACAGAGAATATCCCAAACTGTAAGCTAAAAGCAGTTTTATATTTGGAGCAGATACAGCCCCTGTAAATGTTTGTATTACACATGAAGCAAAGCTTAGACTATTTTATACATTTTAATATCGATCAGATTTTATCGATTCCCTAGTATGAGAAATAATAAACGTTCTTAAACACCTGTATACAGTGCCCAACTGGATGTAGTGAAAAGCATCTATCTTCATCAGCAGTGCCTTTCATAGATCATAAAACACATAGTCATGAAACAACAGTGAGCTTAACGTGCAACAAATTAGACCTCCACGCACCTTCTGGACGTCGTAGTGAAGCCCCCTCACAGCAAAGTCTGGGATATACTCGTACTTTCGCAGGCCCTCTGGGTACTAACAGCAAATAAATAAATAAATAAATAAATAAAACTAGTTAGAAAATTTCTTATAGAAAAAAGGCCAACGTGACAAATTTCAGTTTGAACGCAGTTGTAGTCCAGTTTAAACCATAACATGTGACTATTAACTTCCTTCTTTTTAATGATAAAACGACAGAGGTTGTAGTCTTTGGTCCAAGTACTCGGTCTGCTCGCCCCATTCTTGAAACTGAGTGCGACTTCTCTGGGTGTTGTGCTGGATGGGGATCTTGTCTTGGACAGGCAGACAAGTGCGGTGACTAAATCTAGTTTTTATCAATTAAGAAGGATCGCCAAGGTAAAGAACTTGCTGTCAAAAATGGATTCTGAAACAGTAATTCATGCGTTTATTACATCAAGGCTTGATTATTGTCATTTTTTGTACCTTGGTGTTTCTCAATCCCACCTCTCACGTCTTCAGTTGGTGCAGAATGCTGCTGCACGGCTGCTCACTGGGACAAAACAGATGGAGCATGTTACTCCTGTCCTGGCCTCACCGCACTGGCTGCCTGTTTGTTTTAGAATCCAGTACAAGGTGCTTTTAAATCTCTGCATGGCCCTGCTCCAGAGTACCTCTCTGAGCTTCTGGTTTGTTATTCCCCTGCACGGTGTCTGAGGTCGGCTGACAGGATGCTCTTAGAAGTCCCAAAAACAAGACGCGAGCTCAGAGGTGACAGGGCTTTCTCTGTAGTTGCCCCTAGGCTCTGGATTGCTCTGCCTTTGAGCATTAGGTCGGCCGCTTCACCGTCTGGTTTTAAATCTCATTTGAAAACCTATTTTTATGATTTGGCTTTTAACTCAGAATGAGAGTCTTTTTAGTGTTTTATCAGTGTTAGTCCTTAAGCTTTAGTTTTAATGCATTTCTGTGTTGTGTATTGTTTTTAATGTCTGTGAAGCACTTTGGTCGGTTTTATACCATTGTAAGGTGCTACATCAGAAGTGGGGAACCCTGGTCCATCGAGGGCCACTATCCAGCATATTTTAGTTTGAACCCGGCTTCAACACACCTGATTTCAATAGCAGGTGATTAACAGGCTTCTGCAGAGCCTGATGAGCTGCTGAACAGGTGAATCAACCACTGAATCAGAGGTGTTGGAGCAAAGATGTGCAGGATACTGGCCCTCGAGGACCAGGGTTCCCCACGCCTGTGCTATATAAATAAAGTTGCCTTGCCTTGCCATTAAAAGCAATAAAACTACAGTTTTTGTTGTTCTTTTCTTTTGCTTGATTACAATTATCTTGTATTGCAGAATCAGGAACCAGGCCGGACCTCACCCTGTGGTTGGTGATGAGGATGTCTCGTGCGATGTTGAAGATGAGCGTGTGGAGGTGGCTGGAGTAAAATGCCAGGGTGTAGTCATAGTCAAAGCCGTAGATCTCGATGTCTCGCAGACTCATCTCGTTGTTGGCAAAAATGGTGTCCGGGTCGACAGAGCTGGTGGACATAACTGGAAGCAAAAGTGAGAAGAAAACACATGAGGTTAAAGAGCAATGTCTATGGCAACTTAATGCAACGAAAAAATAGCATCGCTGCTGCAGAACAATAAGAAATGGTACAAACATAAGCAAGAGAAACATTGAAAGGTAGCTAAAAATGGCATTCACTGCTCATAAACATTCAAGGTATTACAACTACGTGACGGTGTTTCTTTAATGATAAAAACAGATGAATCCCTTTGAGACAAGATTCTTGAAAAGAATGAAAAATTAACTTTTGATTTTTCCTGAATAGAATAAATTTACCCAATTCTGCTTATTTACTATTATTTTCTGAGAAGCGCATAGTTAGGTACAAAACTTAGTAGGGCACGAATGTGGTCATCGGCGAATATTAATCATTTTTTAGCATAGTATATGTCTGATTTATAAAAATCAACCGATGTTTGTTTCAATCTTGCTGTCGTTTGAGTAGAGGCTGGTTAGCGTTTGTTTACACTTAAAAACCAAAAAATGTAAATAATCCAGGAAGAATGTGTCTTATAAGTAAAGCAAAACTAAATTCATAAGCGCTGCTGACATAAAATGTATGAAAATAGACGAGATGATGACGTCACTTATTAAACACAGGAAGATAAAACTACTTGCTGGATCTCATCCAATGACAAATATCTGTAGTGTTTATTTTAAGATGGACTTGAGCTGGAACATAGTTATCACTCGTATAGTCTCAGTTCACTAACTGTTTGCGCTGCCTACCTTCTGTCTGCCTTTTGGTCTCAGTGTAAACAGACCACAGCTTCTGAGTGACGTCCTGGCCGTCTGAAGAGCTGCTGCATGCAGATGCTGCGCTGGTTTTGGCTCCGGACTGGAGCGACAGCAGCTCACCGGTGGCTCCGTGGGACAATGCCCTGAAATTCCGCCTCCACAAACTAGCCCCGAGTGAGCGCTGAGGGGAGCCGGGTAAGACATGGCGGGAGACGGCTGCCCTCCGCAGACAGTCCGTGTGTTTCAGGAGAGACCGAAGCGGACAGGACAAGGTCGTCATAGCGCTGTCCTCGGCGGGGCGACCCGAGTGGAAAGGTGGACAAGCAGCGGACCGCACGAGGGACAGGCTCCTTTGTAATTACCGAAACTGTATGGTTGCTTTGACGTCACTTCCGTGTTTGGAAAGCACCCAGCCAACCAGCGAATCAGAGGTTAGTGCGTCTGGTCCGCAGCAAATTAGTAGCCTCAACAAGCTTCATCTAATTCGAATAAATAAAAAATACATTTAGAAATTAGAAAAATAAAAAAGTATAATTATTATTTTGTTTATGATAATAATTTCTAGACTGAACGTATTAAGTCATATTTTAGAAAAAAGTTTAGCCTAAACCCCTGAAAGATCAGAATCCTTGTCGTTATCATACAAAAGTAGCACGTCATTGTAAGCAGGTCCATTCAGTGCAAAGCAAAAACTAAAAGGACATGCATGCACGCAAACACCTGACACACACTATGTGTATTTGGGCAAAGTTACAAGTTAGTTAGTCGTCATAAATTTATGATGTTCAACAATACATGAAGGATTTTAATAACCGTTTAATTGTCTAGTAACAATTAAAAACCTATAGAAGCTTTTTATCAAACAGTTTCCTGAACGAAAAAAAAAGTAGTTCCCGTTATTTGAGTGTACTGATTAACTTACTGAATACTGTCATCTGGTGGAGAAAACGAATAGTGCATTTTTAACTAACATTTTCTTCTTCCTTTTGTCTTCCCCTAACTTTAGTAGTGAAACTGCCAAACTCTATTTCAGTTGGCAGAGAGCAACAACAATGACTAAATAAAACTCATTAGAAATATCCAACATCTATAAAGAAGGAGGCATGTTGCCATAAAAAACTGTTAGCATTCATTCCTTGCTGAAATGCCATTTTGATGTCTCCAAGCTGTGGGTGACATTGTCAAGGTGAGGTTAAGGAAATACAAATGCTGAATGACTGAACGTTTCTTGAACCAATGATTTTGCCAAACTGGTCAAATCTGCTGGGAAGTTTTGTTTGGTGGTGGGAAAATGAAATCAGGATGAGATGTTGAAGGCGAGGATAGATTCAATGAGTGAGGATCATGCTGAGATTAAAGACTTACCCAGCAGGTGGAGGCATTGCTGTGCTGTGTTGTTTACAGAGATGGCATGCTGAGAAAAAGAGAGAACGTGTCCCTAAAAGAGTCAACCTGCTCCTCTACCTGGCCCTGGATATAGCAGTCTCTGTCTCTGCAACACGACTCTTGTGGCATCTACCTTTAACATGTCATCAGCAACAGACAGGATCATGTTCCTGCTCATATCAGCACTGGTATCAGTCAAACGAGCCACAGGGCCATGTCATCCTCCTCCTCACTCCTACGGAGAAGGGAATGAAAGATAAACAGTCCTGTGAAGCAGATTTTATTAAATTAATTTAATTCACAGACATGACAACAATTGAACATGTTGCTTTTTGTTTAGTGATTTGATATGATTTGTTATGAACTGAACCTGCACAAATAGCAATAATTATAATTTGATAGAACATTTTACAAATGACTGAATGACTTTTCTGATAAAAATGTATGGTTTATCACATTCTTCCAAGAGGCTTGTGCTTGAGAAATGTTATGTCAGCTATTTTATTTAGCAAAAGTATTTCATTTCTTTCATTTTTACTTTCACCTAAGGTCATTTAAAAAATCTAAATGGAATCCTGTCATGCTATGGCATTTTTTAAAAATTTTTTTGCAAATGGCTAAATCTAGATCGCTATATTCTAACAGAAAAAAGAACATTATTTCTTTATTTCTTTCACCGCATGAGTTTTTGGTGATGCTGTTTATTTTATGGCTTCATACAAAATAAGTCAAACTGTCTTTGAATAAACAGTTTGAAAACAATGTTTGTTTAACATTTTTACATTTAATCAATGTTTGTTCACCAGATGAAATGGTTACAATTTGTAACAAGTTCTGCTGTGTGTGTGCGCGCGCGCATGTGTGTTTCCTATATTGTCACAAAATAGGATACAATGAACCATTTTAATGTGTTTCTGAACCACTATGCACTTTTGGAAATATCCATTCATTCTTTTTCTCCTACTATATCAGTTCATTATAAAACGAATTTAATATATTTCAAATATATTTCAGTATCAGTAAATATTTAGACTGTGGAGACAAATGAAAATCTTCGACAAATTAAATGTCATCAAGATTCACTGTGTTACAAGGGCATTGCACAAGAAAAATCAAACTTACTTGCATGCGGAATGAGGGTTTTTTGTCAGATAAATGTAAATTGTCAGGAAGTGATGTGCTGATCAGTCACTCTTAGCCAATGATGTCTAGCCACGATTTTCAGGCATCGACTTATGTTGAAGAATCTGATTGGACATCATGTTCCTTAAACTCGGCTGTGATTGGTTGAAGGTTGTGCGTGGTGTGCAGCCATTGGTTAGTCTCCAGGCGTTTAACAGAGTGAGCTCGCGCTGTAGAAGTAGCTGTACAGTCGTTGTCGCAAAGCCAGTGATACCTCCGCTGCTGCCCCAGCTTTTGTTCCAGGAGCTGAAGACTCAGCGTTAGACTAGTATTATCTCGAAATGAAACGAATGTGGTTGATTGGCCTTCTTTTTGGTCTTCTAGCCTTTGGTGAGTAGTGGAAAGAAATAAATGTCCTCATACCTCAAGGGTATGAAATTATTTGTATGTCGTTTCTAGCTTGTAAGCTAATTATAGCGTTCATTGTAGATGTTAAGCTACTCTTATAACAACTTTTAGATCTGATTTAATTCATTTTTAGCTACAGACCGCATCGCATTTTATATGTAAGTCCTCTGGTGTCCATTTATCACGCCATTTTTCTTTCCTCCAGAAGTTTATAGAAGGTAAAATTCAGGATAGCGTTGTCGTGAACTGAGAATGGCAGCAAGCATGCTTTTATGATATCAGCACTCATCTGCTATCCTTATTGGCCCTTCTAGAAGCGTCTAGAAGCGTCTACTACGTATGCTAAGCTAACTCTCATCCCCAGATGAAGGGTTGTTGCACTCATGCACGTTCAAACAATAGCAGCAGAACTACATGAATTACCTTACATCAACTCATCACGTACTAGCATGTTTTAAGTGTTTGTGTATTCATGGCAGCTGCTGTAAGGGCTGAGGATGACGTTGACGTGGATGGAACAGTGGAGGATGATTTGGGAAAAAGCAGGGATGGCTCCAGAACAGATGATGAGGTGGTGCAAAGGTAGGCGCATCTTTATTTTGCCCAAAAAATGTCAACCACTAAAACTCTAGGTCAGCCTGACCAAGCTTGTGTACATAGGTCACAAGGGCAACCTTGAAATTGTAATAGAAGCAGAGCTTTAAAGGCTCAGTTGGTGTTCCATGCCCTAGGTCTTCTAAAAGCATGCATTTTTGAAGCTGTTCTTTAATATCACCTTTTGTGTACACATCTGTCCCCAGAGAGGAAGAGGCTGTCCAGCTCGATGGTTTAAATGCATCTCAGATCAAGGAACTCAGGGAAAAGTCTGAAAAACACGCCTTTCAGGCTGAAGTCAACCGTATGATGAAACTCATCATCAACTCTCTGTACAAGAACAAGGAGGTCAGCAGGCTCAAACATTTATAAGCAATATTTAAATTGTTTATTTGGGAACCTAAACTCTGATCTGTCTGTTTCAGATTTTCCTCAGGGAGCTGATTTCGAATGCTTCAGATGCTCTGGATAAGATTCGCTTGTTGTCTCTCACTAATGAAGAAGCACTGTCCACCAACGAGGAGCTCACAATCAAGATAAAGGTATGGACATAAGAAAATGTCAGTCTAACTTGTGAGACTGTGAAAATCACCAGTTTTGTTATTCCATCTTCTCCCCAGTCGGATAAAGAAAAGAACATGCTCCACATCACTGATACTGGTATTGGAATGACTAAAGAGGAACTGATAAAGAACTTGGGCACCATCGCCAAGTCTGGCACCAGTGAGTTCCTAAACAAGATGACAGAGATGCAGACCGAGGGCCAGTCGACGTCGGAGCTGATCGGCCAGTTTGGTGTGGGTTTCTACTCTGCTTTCCTTGTTGCTGACAAGGTCATCGTCACATCCAAGCACAATAATGGCACTCAGCACATCTGGGAGTCTGACTCTAACCAGTTCTCAGTCATTGAGGACCCCCGCGGGGACACATTGGGCAGAGGAACCACAATCTCGTAGGTGTTATGTGCTTCAACTCTCTAAACGTCTGGTTATGCCTTTGAGCTGTTGAGCTTCAATGTTCTGCTTTATCTTTACAGACTAGTCCTTAAGGAAGAGGCTTCAGATTATCTGGAGTTGGAGACGATCAAGAATCTTGTCAGGAAATATTCTCAGTTCATCAACTTCCCCATTTATGTTTGGGCTAGCAAGGTGATTAAAACTTTAATTTTTACTCTAATGTAAAACAGAAACTATGCTACAGAGCAAATGGTTATGCTGTTTCTATTGACATAAAGACTGAGACGGTTGAAGAGCCCATTGAGGAAGATGCAGAGGAGCCAGAGAAGGAGACTTCAGAAGACGAGGCTGAAGTGGAGGAGGAAGAGGAGGACAAAGATAAACCAAAGACCAAGAAGGTAGTGTCATTTTTAAAATGGGTATAAATTGTGATTAACCCATTTTATTTAAATAAAGTTTGTCTGTTCAAATGAGGACATGGGCTCCCAACTGGACTCAATTTAAAATCAGAAGTATTACAGAAAAGGCCGACAACTGTTACACTATTGTATGTTTTGTTTACACTATTGTATGTTTTGTGTAGGTGGAGAAGACTGTGTGGGACTGGGAGCTGATGAATGACATCAAGCCCATCTGGCAGAGACCAGCTAAAGACGTGGAGGAGGACGAGTACAAAGCTTTCTACAAGACCTTCTCAAAGGTAGGGATGGGTTTGTGTGATCTTCTTGATTCAAACTGGTTTAGATGTTTAACTCAAGTCTCCGCTTCAACAGGACAGCGAAGACCCTCTGGCTCACATCCACTTCACCGCCGAGGGTGAGGTTACCTTCAAGTCCATCCTGTTTGTGCCCACCTCAGCCCCCCGAGGCCTCTTTGATGAGTATGGCTCCAAGAAAAACGATTACATTAAGGTTTGTTACTGAAACCTAATGTAGTAAAATTGTGTTCAGGCCTTTTGACATTTATTTAGATCGTTTGTTTATAAACAGCTGTTCGTCAGGAGAGTCTTCATCACAGACGACTTCAACGACATGATGCCCAAGTATCTGAACTTTGTCAAGGGGGTGGTGAGTTATTTAGTTTTAAGTGAAAATGCTAAATATAAGTTGGTTTTGGTTTATTTTTTTAACTGATGCCACCTAAATGTCATGCTTTTTTAGGTTGACTCTGATGACCTGCCTCTAAATGTGTCCAGAGAGACTCTGCAGCAGCACAAGCTGCTTAAGGTGATCTCTCCGTTCACTTTAAATACAACTCTTCACTCTGCAGTTTATTTATTTTTTCTTTCATTGCTCCTCTTCCAACAATGTGGGAGAAACGGATCCAAATGTATTTAATCAAATATCAAAACACGATTTTATTTTTAGGTGATCCGCAAGAAACTGGTCCGTAAAACTTTGGACATGATCAAGAAGATCGCAGAGGACCAGTACAACGAAAAGTTCTGGAAGGAGTTCGGAACCAACATTAAACTGGGTGTCATTGAGGATCACTCTAACAGGACCCGTCTGGCCAAGCTGCTCCGCTTCCAGACCTCCCACAGTGAAACTGTCCAGTCCAGCCTTGAGCAGTATGTGGAGCGCATGAAGGAGAAGCAGGACAAGATCTACTTCATGGCTGGCACCAGCAGGAAAGAGGTGGGTGTGTTTGCAGTGTGATGTGGTGTAGCTTTAACAGGAAGTGCTGAAATGTAAGTGATCACCTGTTATTTTTTTGTCTTCAGGCTGAATCTTCTCCTTTCGTTGAGAGACTGCTAAAGAGAGGCTATGAGGTGATTTACCTGACCGAGCCCGTGGATGAGTACTGCATTCAGGCCCTTCCAGAGTTTGATGGCAAGCGCTTCCAGAATGTGGCTAAAGAGGGTGTCAAATTTGATGAGAGTGAAAAGGCCAAGGAGAAGAGGGAGGCTCTAGAGAAGGAGTATGAACCTCTCACCACATGGCTGAAGGACAAGGCCCTCAAGGATAAGGTAGGGGTTTGATTTTAGTGCACATGACCCGTTTACATTATCTAACTGATGTCTGATCAGGGTTTTTATTCTCCAATAGGTCGAGAAGGCTGTTCTGTCTCAGAGGTTAACTGACTCGCCGTGTGCTTTGGTGGCCAGCCAGTATGGCTGGTCAGGAAACATGGAGAGAATCATGAAGGCACAAGCTTACCAGACGGGCAAAGACATTTCCACAAAGTGAGTAATACACCCAGGAATTGAAGTATTGATGTTTACTCATCAATCCTCCTCAACCGATGTTGACTCTCTGTCCCTCAGCTACTATGCCAGCCAGAAGAAAACACTAGAAATAAACCCTAAACATCCTCTTATCAAGCAGATGCTCAGCAGAGTCAATGTATGTGTGCCTTTTTGATTTTATTTCTAAGCCTTTTATTCTAAAACAAAGTTGGCTGAGCAGTTTCTACATGTTTCCATCACATCTTCAGGCGGATGCTGAGGACCAGACTGCATCAGATCTGGCAGTGGTTCTGTTTGAGACGGCCACGCTGCGTTCAGGCTACCAGCTCGTCGACACAAAAGCCTACGGAGACAGAATAGAGCGGATGCTCCGGCTCAGCATGAATGTACCCCTGGATGAACAGGTAGGCGGTAATGTGAAGTTGGTTTCTTTGCATTGGCTCGGTGAGTCGGTTCTTTAAGTCTGCTGCTGTTTCAGGTTGAAGAAGAACCTGAGGAAGAGCCAGAGGAACCGGCAGAGGATGACTCTGAAGATAAAGAGGAAGTTATTGATGATGATGATGAAGATGATGAAACGGTGAGATGACTTTTAAAATGCGTTGAAACGGTAAAGAACTGTACTGGGTGTGGCAGGTTCTAACTTGTATTTTGTTTACAGATAAAGACTGATAAAGATGAGCTGTGAAGCACTGAATGGGAGAACGTACCCCAACAACAACGAAGCTGGAATCAGACTCAACTCCAGTCCATCTGTGGTTGACGCTGTCCTGGGTGGGTCCTTGGGTTAGGGTTTTTTAAGGCGAGCATTGTTTGTGCAGTTTTTTTTTTTTTTTTTTTTACATTCCCCATGACTGTAAATTTGTTAATATTTAACTGACCTGTTTATGAAGATGCAATCCTGTCTATTGATCTAATAAATGTTACCAAAAGTGTCATCTGTGCAGAGAAACATGATTTCCGTACCAGATTTGAGATTTTCATGACCAAACATCCACCTGGCCCTTGGGTGCAACATCTCAAATAATCTTTAGGGAGTCGCACAGAAGTGGAACTACATGCAAGCTAGAAGCAGAAGGGAAACTACCTGCAGTGTTGGACTGTTTCCTGTATCTGCTGGCTGCTGTGATCTGATAAAAGGCTTCAAATAAAAGACTAGTTGACCTCAAGAAAATTTTCAAGATGCTTTCAGTGGCAACACAGAAGATAATTTGAGGCCCTGCAAGTTCACTGAACAAAATATTAAAATTACGAAAGAGCAATGACTTAAATGCAGCATGTGGATCAAATATGGATCTCAAACCTTTAAAATGTAATTAGTGGCAAAACTTTAAAATTCAGTTAAGAAAACTGACATTTCTCTCCAAATAAAAGTTAACTTCTTGGCAGTTTACAGAAGATTTGTCACAAGGTACAGTAATACCTTAATAGATGACATGCCTTTTAATGTGGATTAGATGCGTTTTCATTGTTACTGTAATTAGAAAAGCTGCATCTTATTGAACCTCTGGATGGCAAGTCTAAAACGTCCACCAGATGGCGGTATTGCTCACTTTTAAATGATTGACTTGTAGGCCACTGGAGCTTACTATGTTCAAAACTAAAAATGGAAATTTACATTTATGAATAGAAATTTTACTTCAAAACTTTCTAAATTTTATAAAGATCAACTTCCACTGACTGGATGATTGTTTTTAGACTTTGCTGCAATTCTGACATATTTTAGACATTCTACTTTTAGGAGAACTGATATTTGACGACATGCGTCACCTCCAGGCCACTCAGCAGACTGCTCAGTCCGTTAAATTTTCTCTCCAAACTGCAAAATGGTTTTCTAATCGATAAGCCTACTTACACAATTAACTTATCACCCACACAAGGAAATAAATGTCCATATGCATAAAAAGTCTTTGCAAAAAAATCTAAACATTTTAGTCGAAATCCCTGATTAATTTATATTTTTAGTGAACTTGAAAAGAAATAAATGCAAGAACGTGTCTGTTTTTGCAAAACAAATGCATTTCAAACAAATGAGTAGATTATATTTCGTCTTGTGTCAGAACTGGAATTTGGGTAGCAAGCTTTGAGTAATGTTTTAGAGAGGGAGCTAGACATTTGCTCCATGATTATTACCAAACTTAGATCTGCAAAAATGTTTTAAAATGTCTTGTTGTGCATCAGGCGTATTCACTTTTTGCCTCAGAGAAAAATGAAAAGCAGGTCCATAAGAGATGGATCAGCTATGGGAGCCATTCTTTTTACAATAAACTTCAGCTTCCCTTTTAGCCTACTTTAGTTTAAATGGTGCAAAAATATAATCTTGCCGATAAACTGTTTTAATATTTATCTGATTAAATAACTTCACACATTTTCCTGTTTGCAAATTTACTTTTATTTTATCTCATCTCAGAATAAAACCTGATTGACAAAATTGCTGCACAGAAGACGAAATAAATCCTTTACAGCTCAGATTGTGGGAAAGAGCCACCACGGCGATTCTCCTTCCCATAATTTGTATTTTGTGACAGACTGCAGTTTCTGCGCCGCTGCCGCTCATCTACGCAATCCCTGGATAGGTGGTTGCCATGGATTCCTGGGTCACATGCGTGGGTTTCCTATAGCCAGAAGCAGCAGCAGCAGAAGATGATGCTTGGACCAAAATCCAGAGCCATTTTCATTCAGGAAAAAGAGAGGATCCGCTGTGGACAGCTCGTGGCACACCCGCTTATTCCTAATCTCAGCTGCGCGTGCATCCCTTCTTCTTCTCCCCTTCATCTTGGACTTGCAGCAGATCGGTTTTGTCCACATTCATAGACTGAAAACAGGAATGAGTATAGAAATTCCTGAAGGACTGACGGAGCTGTTACAAAGCTTTACCGTGGAAGTGTTGAGGAATCAGCCCAGGGACTTGCTCGAGTTTGCGTTGCAGTACTTCACCCAGCTGAAGGACAGCGAGACCAAAGAGGCCTCATTTGGCAATGAGCAAAATTCGGCCCCGAGATCAGGAAAAGCGGTCAATTTTATTGACGAGGCCATGCAGATCGATTCCGAGAACGGAGAGGACGACGACGACGACGATGACGACGAGGAATTCACAGGTGGTCTGAACGGTTGCTGCTTTCCTTTGTCTTTTATCTAAACACGACTGTGAGAAACGCACGTGAATGCGGATGACCTTAATGTTATTTGAAGCATGGGCACGCGTCGCAGCGGTGGGGGATAATGACTGATGCACCGGCGCTCCGCCACCTTGCATCCACCACCGCCGCGCTGTCAGTTGCCATATACGGTCACAGAGGATGAGCGATGGTCACAATGTGTCTGTGCGAGAAAATGATCCTTAAATACCAAACAGCTGCCATCTCAACGCCGGCACCACAGTGTGCTAAAAAGCACTCAGAGTAGGAGTGGATGGGGTTGAATATTTGCAGTCTCAGATGCAGGCCCAGATGGGCCTATTTACCCTCCTTAGCTAATAGAAAATAAGACAAATTATATATTCAATGCTTTCAAACATGGCATGGATATGGTCAAATGATCTGGTATGCACTAAATTGTAGCTTATAAGAGTAATCAGTGCAGGGTTGCTAGACAGCAGAGCTCTGACCTATCATCAATGGGAGTAGTGGGGTCTGGGGACCATCTGGTTACATAAATGCAGGTGCACCACATTCATTAGTTTAATAGTCTTTTTTTGGGGGGGGGGGGGGGGGGGGGGGGCACTTTCATTGAGTCAGCACCGCCTGCAGGATGTCTGTGAATGACCTCCTAATGCATTTTTCATTCTGACCTTTTGTGGCATTATTCAAAGACCCTAAACCCACTTCAAAGCAGATGTTCTCATTCAGGTTTTACCCCCAATGAATATGGATCCCCAAGAGCAATGCTCCAGAACTGCAGCAACCTAAACCATTTCCAACAAGAGCAAGTTTAACACCTGGCTTTTATGTTTTACAGCTCCGGTGATAAACAGATTCATCAGAAGAGCATCAGGTGAGTTACGTTGGGATGCCTGACGTATTAAAGGGAAAAGTCTGGACAGTATCATCTCATCTGAATGTCGGGGGGAAATTTTCCATCTGTCTGTTGTAACTGTCCCTTCCCTTATAATAATAGGATTGATTTATAACAGTGTGTGAAGCCACTTCGTGGTGAACTTGGTTTATAATATCAGTGAGTGACGTGGGTGCAGAAATCAGGGCAAGAAGTGGTCCTTAATTATCTCTGGCTAAGAATAGTGGTAAAGTTGTAGCTCTGCACTGGAACGGATGGCTGCAGTTTTTCCAATATAAAAAGTGTGAGGAATATTCTGCAAAACATTTAGTATCTATTTGAACATAAATATATCTAACTAGGGTTTAAAATCTAAGGGTATGATTAATGTTGCCCCTGACTGATCCTCATGCTCATTTACACACATGCAGGAACATTTCCTTTTAGGAGTCTAAAATGCTTAAAATCATGTCACTTGTACTTACATTTTATTATATAAATTGAATGTGAAATTCTGTATCTTTAAGGTCTTCCATCCAAAACGTTTATCTCTTCTGAGGTTTAAATGATAAATGACCCACACTTTTATAGCGCCTCTCAGAGTAAGGACTCCAAAGCACTTTACACTACAGTGTATCATTCATCCATTCACACACTCATTCACACACTGATGGTGATGAGCTACGATGTAGCCACAGCTGCCCTGGGGCGCACTGACAGAGGCGAGGCTGCCGAGCACAGGCACCGGCAGTCCCTCCGACCACCACCAGCAGGCAAGGTGGGTTAAGTGTCTTGCCCAAGGACACAACAGCAGAATTCTCTGTCCGGAGCCAGGATCGAACCTGCAACCTTACGATTACTGGACAACCCGCTCTACCTGTTGAGCTACTGCTGCCACAGGTTTAGCCAAAAGATGAACAATTTCACCTCTGATTTGGATGAAGCACAATGAGGCTATCAGTGTTTAGTCACAAAATAATACATTAATTCATCCAAAGAATGCATTCTAATGTATTTGCAGAAGAAAACTGTTTTGTTACAACAACAGCCATAAGTAGTGCTCTGCAGAAAACACTGAAATCAAAAAATATTTTGAGCAAAATCTAAAGATAAAACTAAGTCAGCAGGTTAACAATGAAAATAGTAAAGAAGGAGCCATGCAACATGTATACAACATGTGTCATTACACACACAAGAAGGACGACTTCCTTTATATTTGCTTATACAGGAGGATTCATTTTTACATAAAGAAGTGAAATGGAAAATAAAGAATGTTCTCCTGAAGCGTTCTCAGTGATGATGGAGCTGAATGAATCCATTGGACAGGGTATCCTAAAGAGAGAAGCAATGGCATCAGTTATCACAACTGGTATAAATGTAGTTTACTTACCTCCGTTGATCTTTCTCTAACACAGTTTGTGCTGAGGCCTTCAATCCAGATGAAGATGATGAAGATAAGGAACCACGGGTAAGCTGTAGATAGAAGTTTGGGTCCATCTCTTTCTCGTTAGTAGCATGTATGTTATTTGTTAGCTTTCTCGCATGCACCATGTTTCATACTGGTTAAGGTTCATGTTTTACAATGACACTCTTAAATTGGCTTATTTTTGCTTTGTGTTGCAGGTCACTTACCCCAAAACCGATGAGCAGAGATATAGACTACAGGAAGCATGCAAGGACATTCTTCTGTTCAAGAACCTGGATCCAGTGAGCAAATTATTTGTTTCACTTAAAGCCATCATAAAACCATGGAACCATGGATGGCCTGAGGCTGCAGGTTTTTGTTGCATGCTTAGAGAAAGATGTTTGATTTGGGAAAACAATTTCCAAACACTTTCAACCCATAAAAGCAGGACAGGAGACAATAGTTGGATGTTTCACTGAATTGTCAATTTGAAAATGTTAAAACTGTAATCGAAAATTAGATAAACTATTTGACGTAAAAATTGTTCATGACTCTTAACAATGTTCTAACATATCCATCCATCCATCCATCCATCCTTCTTCTTCCGCTTATCCGGAGTCGGGTCGAGGGGGCAGTAGCCTAAGTCGAGAGGAATTCTCTCTCCCCAACCACTTGGGCTAGCTCTTCCGAGGGAATCCCAAGGCCAGGTGAGAGACAAACTCCCTCCAACGTGTCCTGGATCTCCATTTAAGCCTCCTCCTGGTTGGACGTGTCCAGAAAACCTCACCATGGAGGCATCCTGACCAGATGCCCGAGCCACCTCAACTGGCTCCTCTTGATGTGGAGGAGCAGTGGGTCTACTCCGAGCCCCTCCCAGATGACCAAGCTTCTTTCTCTATCTCTAAGAGAGAGCCCAGCCATCCTGTGGAGAAAACTCTTTTTGGCCGCTTGTATCCGCGATCTCACTCTTTCGGTCACTACCCAAAGCTCATGATCATAGATGAGGGTAGGAACGTAGACCGACCGGTAAATCGTTATAACATAGTATAGCTATAAATATATTGTGGAGATAAAAAGAAAAAGATTAGTAAAATGGTTCTCTCGCATTTGCCTAAAATAGATAGAATAGAACAAGAACAAGAATAGAATAGAATAGCATAGAATAGAATAGAACAAGAACAAGAATAGAATTTATAAATCCCACAGTGACTCTATAAGGCAGCGCAGGAGAATAGAAAATAAACAATGCAGGTAAATACACAAAGGCAGTAGGCTATTGTTGTAACCTTCAGCAATTAGAAGAACAAATAAAAATAGATAATCCAATTTCCAAAAAGAAACAGCATAAAGGATATCAGAGCAGGAGAAACAGCCGGCTGCTACCACTTCAACTTAGTCCCAAAAAGACATACACTGTTTGAAGTCACGGACAACAAAAGATGTTTGGACCTAGAAAACAGCAACTGGTGTTTAGCTCTATCCCGTTTCCATAGCAAATGCGGGTTTCTGGTTCGGGTGGGCGGTGATCCAGGGAAGATACTCGAGGGGAGGGGTGAGTGTTAGATGACGTGTTTGCATTCAAAACCTAGCTTGTTCAGATTCGCTATAACAGCTTTAACGTGATTTTATTATGTAATTATATAATAAGAAAATTGACATTTGCCACATGTTACACGGTTCTTTAATGGGGGCAGAAGTCACATACCGCACTGGATGCCACAGTTTTATTTTGAGGAATTTACTAATCCTGTGAAAGAGATGGAGATCTTAGAACTAAGTGTATTGAACATTAAGGATTAAATAGACAACGTGTGTTTCTCTCTGCTTTCAGGAGCAGATGTCCCAGGTTCTGGATGCCATGTTTGAAAAGTTCTGCACAGAAGGAGAACACATCATTGATCAAGATGATGATGGGGATAACTTCTATGTAATAGAAAGGTGCTTACTGTGACACATAGTTTTCAAAATGTTCTAAATGTAAAAAAACAATTTAAAAATCTAGGTTATTTTTGGGATAAAATATTTATTTAAATTTTTGATTTGATGATTATATTTTCCTCCAGCGGGACATTTAACATTTTCGTGAAGGTTGACAACGCAGAGAAGCTGGTGGGCTGCTATGACAACAGAGGCAGCTTTGGAGAGCTGGCGCTGATGTACAACACCCCAAGAGCAGCCACAATAATTGCAACCTCGCCTGGAGCCCTTTGGTGCCTGGTGAGTAAACCAGCACATAGTTCTACTGGAGCACAGCGGGCTCCTTGCTCAGGTTTTAATATCACTCTGTGCAGTCAGTTGTCTGCAGTAAAAACACACTGGCACTGATGCTAATTCTGAAGGTAACAACATGCAAACTGAAATTGTTACATAAACATCATTATAAGCCTTTACCTGTTTTGGCAAACATTTTAAAATCAAACATATCCTATTTTAAACTTTATTAATGTAATGTCCGTTTCAATCAGACAGTTCATTTATTTCACACAAAACTGGTCCTGGATCAGAGCAGAAAATGAAGAACTCAGTTGCTGCCAGACCTCTTTATGTAAAACATCTCATTTATTCATGACTCAGTGAAGTGTGTGTCCTTAAAAAGTGGGTAACAGCCCTGTTATGTCATCTCTGCGAGACTGGTGAGCGATGCCGTGGTATCCTCTGCTGACCTGAGCACTCCAAGTGAACAGTTTAGTCTGTGATCAAGCAGCAGTCCCTGTTTAATGTGCATCGGATTGGGCATTAGGTGTGGTGCCAACGAGTCTCTGAGCTAACAGAAGATTACAGTGGAGCTTTAATGGAGGTGTGTCATGGTAAGACTAAGGCTTTAACCACTGGAGCTGTTGGGTTGGTTTGCTTGAGGAGGGATTGCTAAAAAACACCATCTGCAGCTAAATCTGCTTCATGCAACTACGTTTTGAAATCTGTTTTGTATTATTTTGTTCTGAATTAATGAAACAATAAAGGTTTCTTTTAACATTTTATTACTGAAATAATGCAAAACGACACGCTAGAGCGCCCCCTATCGTCCCTTTTGACAGTAAATGATTTGCTTACTTAAAGCAGGCTTCTATTGACACCTGCTGTGTAATCCGGTTTAAATGTTTGCGGAGAAGGCAGAGAAACCTGCAGCAGTAGAGGAAATGCAACGTGAGGAGAATGCAGAATTATGGATTGCATCCCTATTTGTCCACAACAGTGTTTTTGTGCTTCCTGGTTTGATTATTGAAAACGACGTTGATTTTTTTTCTTGCAGAAATGTATTTCGTAACAGTGCATGGCTGTGTATAACAAGACAAAATATATACCTGTGTTTCAGGATCGACTGACATTCAGGAGGATCATAGTGAAGAACAACGCCAAGAAGAGGAAGATGTATGAAGCATTTATTGAAACACTACCACTGCTCACATCCTTAGAGGTAAACAAAAGATGAGCTTTTTTACTCAAGTGGCAACAAACTGCATCATGTTGTTACAGTAAAAGTGTAAAAAAAAACACATTTCATTTTGTCGGCAGGTGTCAGAGAGAATGAAGGTGGTGGACGTGCTAACCACTAGGGTGTACAATGATTCACAGCAGATCATTGCTCAGGTGAAGACACTTTAAATTAGTTTTGTGTCTGTAAAATTTGAGTTGCTAGTTTTTGTGCTCAGAAGGTCATATTGTTTTTCATGACAGGGTGATTTAGCAGATTGCTTCTACATCGTGGAGAGTGGCCAAGTTAGAATCACCATGAAGAGAAGCCGGGTATTTATTTATTCTGAGGAAACTTTCATATATAGTTACTGTATTAACATGTGATAACATGTGTTTATCATTCCAGACAAAAACAGACCAGGAGGAAGAGGAGGTGGATATTGCCACATGCACAAGGGGCCAGTATTTTGGAGAGTTGGCTCTTGTCACAAACAAGCCCAGAGCTGCATCTGCCTATGCTGTGGGGAGTGTCAAATGCTTGGGTACATTTTGTACAGTTCTATGTTTTGAAGGGTCATAGCTCATAAATGCTCATAAATACAATTCTGTTGTTACTGTTTTTGAAATATTTTAGCTTGTGCTATTAAGAGTATTTGACAAACCTGATAAATGTTCAGGTCTATTTTATAAATACCCCCAAACCCCAAAATGTGAATTATTGCACTCATTGCTGGAGTTGATTTATACAACAGTTTCACTAAATAATATCTAATAAGTGCTTTAAAATAAAGCACACTAAGGAAAATGTGATGCTATAAACTTAAAATATAGATAAACAAGTTTAGGTATTTTGTCAGTTTTTTCATGAATGTATTTTCAGACGTCTTTTTGAATCCACATACCAAACATATGTTTGCTTTGATAACGTTAAAATGTAACAAAAAAACGTTGGTACATAATAAACATAAAACAGACAAAGGTTTCCTGATTTTGGGATCACCTCAGTTATCATGACAAATGCTGGAGAACACTCTGATGACAGAAAGCTCTCATCAGGTGCACTGCCATATCTACAAGGCGACCAACAAAAGCTCACAGTTTTTTTGCGGGTCTACCCCGGTCACTATCTTTTGTACTCCCAAAGATTCACTTGGGTACTTTCTTTTCAAAGAGTAGTTTCTCATCTTCTTTGAAGTACAAACATCCAGGACTGAAATTGTCTGGAAGCTCGTCTTACTTTCTTATTCTGATGTTTTAAAATTCTATTTAAGGTTCAGTAAAGGAAGAAAGTTTACATTCTTCAGAACAGTCCAGATTACTGCTTATGAGTCGACATCAGGTATGTCCAAAGTGCTGCCCAGAAGGAATTTGATTTAGCTCGGTCTCCGATTGTATTTCTACATTAATTAATTTTGTCTCTCCAGCAGGCTTTTAATGTAGATCAATACTTAAAAAAAAATTACGTTCAGATTTTTAATAGGCCAAGTTTGGACCTATTTTAAGGAGTGCAATAAAAACAAATCACCATTATTTGTTGGTCTTTTAAAAAAAATCCAAATTTTGTGACCTACGACTACTAATTAGATGCTTTTTGACCCTCGTCTTGAAAATGTTTGGACAGCTTTAGTCTACATTATTTAATTTCTGTAAAACAATTCCTTATCCCTTCCTTTTTGTTAGTCATGGACGTTAAAGCCTTTGAGAGACTGCTCGGCCCATGCATGGACATCATGAAGAGGAACATTGCTAACTACGAGGAGCAGCTGGTGACCTTGTTTGGAAGTAGCCCTGAGATTGAACAACAGAATGCATGAGGTGACTCCTCCAATGGACCATAATCAAGATGATACAAAACACACTCATACACAAAAAAGAGGCTTATATGGATGTTTTCCATGTTACTACTTTAAACAAGCTTTTTTAAGAAAACAGAAAACAAGACATGTAAATATCCACCACTCTACATCTGAAACAAGACGTGTTGAGTTTGCAACCGAACGTCACAGCTGCAGTAAGCCAAAGCAGAGTTGCGTAGATGCTTGTTTAATTACATTTGCCATGATTTTCACCCTAAAATATGTGTGCATTTTACTTGTTGGTGCCAAGTGCTTTATTTGTTGGTAAATGAACACTAACTTTCGCTTTTCTTCATAACGGTATAGCAGTAATGCATAATGTGTACATTTCTGATCCATGCTTTTCATGAACTGGGTGCCAAAGCTAGTTACTCTTACTGGATAATTGTGAGCAGATTTGCCTCCTTTGTTTGTCAGCGGAGGTGCAACATGAGAAAAATCAGGACTTTTGATTACAGCAAAATGTAGTTAGCCGTCATACGAAAATACGTTTGTTAGTCATCAGACTGAAATCTTTAAATCCATCCCCATAATTACTGTTAGTACATGTTTGTGGCTTTTTGCCCAATGCTCTGCTTTTTCAACAAAGCAAACTTCAGAAACATAGCTGATAGTTTTGTAACAAAATACAACACATTGCTGTAAATTTTTAACTATTTACTGTTGGACCCACTTTTAACAACATCCCCTCTACTCTGTAGTCATTATAAGTGGTGTCTCAAGAGAATTGATTTTGCTGTGTTTTATTGTAAATTTTAACTCATTTCGTGTTGGTGAAATATACATTTTTAAGACATGCATCGTTGTTGTCTACCTCTGCCAATAACTTTTTGCAGTTCTTTTTCTTCTTCTGTTTAAGTAACTGAAGTCTTCTGTATTCTGTCTGCTGCTGAAATTGTTTTGAACCGTGTTAACATTTAAAAATGCTGATTTCCCCTCCACCACCATCTGGTAGCAGTTTTACTATTTGATGGCTAAACCACAACAATGGCTACAAACGTTGTTTCAATTTTCATGTCAATAAAAAACATTTTATAAATCTGTGTAACATGATAACATTGCATGATGTCCATAAAGCAGTAAGGCATATCTTTAGGGGTGGGGTTGTCTCAAAAATGGTTTATTCTCCATTTATTTATTCATTCATTCACATTGAAGGCATTGAATTACTTACTTGTTAGATATTACAACAGAGAGCTCTAGTTGTAATCATAACGATAAAATAACTTGTAAATAAAGCAGCTGTATAGCTGTAGCTGCAACATTGCAGAGAAAGCACAATGTATTGTTCACAGTTTTGCCAATCAGCTGTTACTGACTAGTGACAGGCATACAACTTCAGCCAATCACAGCAAGAATAACAAACTATGCACCGCCTTTTCCACGTTCAGTGATATTTTAACCAATTCGATGCACGTATTTCTCTTACTGACGTTTTTGTCAACCAATAGGTGGCTTTCTTTAGAACCACTGAATCCCACCTCTCGAGTGAACGCTTCAGAGTTTCTTGATGGCGATAGGTTTGGTAAGTGGGAAGTTAAGTACTCTTTTTCGAAGAAATATACGTCTCAAACAGTTTTTTTACGCGATCTTTGTGCCATCCACGTCTCTTTAGCCCCAACACGAGGTTTTATTGAGGTTGTCATCGTTTTGTTTCACGAGAAACGACATGTTGAGATCGAGAATGTTTTTTTCTCGCTGTGACGCTTGTTGTTTTGATGACCAGAAACCCACCGAGGGCACTTTTGTGTGATAAAACAAGTTCTTTAATTGGCGAAAATGGCTTTACTTAACGCGAAAATGTGGTTTAAATGATTTCGTGGGTTATCGTGTCATTCATTTAGAACGGAACAGCGGTTGCGTCATGCCTCAACTTGTTGACATTCTTTTGTTTACAGCGTTAGACCCGAGAGGCTGTGGGTTCGAGCCGCGAGCGTTCTTCTGCTCTTTAAAAAGAAAGGACAAAGTAGGCCTGCCCTTTAACTCGTGTCCTTTGAACGTGGTGCCGTTTAATCCATTTATTAGTTGCATTACCATTGCATTCGGGGCTGTGAAGAAAAAAAAAACATCAGCGCTTTTTACAACAGATTGCGAAAATAACAAATAAGTACTTGTTGGTGAGCTAATTCATTCGATGTTGACAGCAAAGCGTTTCTTTCATAGTGTTGTCGCATTTCTTGAAGAAACTCCACATTTGAAATGTGTATAAAACTATTTTGACACCAATATTAATTCGTGAAGTTACATCTGCATTTTAACGTATTTTAGTTTCTGTATGACATTTTTCAGGACCAGTTTTTATGTATTTATCACTTTAGCTCAGCTGCGCAGTTATGAATGAATGAGTGTTGGTGCGCATGCGTCAAATCTCAAATTTATAAACAAGGCCTCCGCGCAGAAATAGTCACGTGACTTTCAACAGAGGTATAGTACAAACAAAGGATTCAGTAAAGGCTGCTACATTTTTCATTAGATTACTGTTATCAATGATTAAAACTATTCCTGTCTGGACCACTTAATGTGTATGATGTAATTGGTATTTTATAATAAAATCTATTATCGTGTCACAGTGAAACACGATTTAAATGGGATAGACTCACTAGTTTGACACCATATTCATGTAACAGTTCGGACCCGAAACTTTATTAGGTATCTTTTAAATATATATAGTTCAGCAGCTGTTACAACTTAATTTTAAAGTATTTCATGTTGTCTTTTTGTTTTGGCTGAACCAGCTGATGCCTGAACAAGTTGGATGACGGAAGCTAAATAAGCGACACCCCTGTGAGGTCTTTTGTATATAAAAATAATAAACAAAAGAATACCTGCAGAATGGATGAATCATTTGATCCACTCAAGTGTAATGAGGACCTTCCTTCCTCACCAGGGTGCCACATGGAATACGGTAAAGTTTCAAACTGGCAAATAAAAAGCCAAACACAATTTCTTCTTTTTTTTCTGATCATTTTTTTAGCATGAATAATACCTCCATCTTCCCTCAGATGACATGCCTGAGCTGCAGGAGGTGGAGGAGGATCAGAGGTCTCAGGGGTTATTTCAGGTTGGAGCTGTGTCTCACCAGGAGCTCAGCTGCTCGCCTAACACCAACTGGCTCACTGAGTTAGCTAACATCGCCACCAGTCCTCAGAGTCCTCTGCTCAAGGATGCTCCCCACATGAGGTTTGTATTAAGACATGCTGCAATGAATGCACATAGGAGACATAAACCTAAATGATAAATGACCCATGCTTGTAGCACCTTTCATGGCCAGAGGACTCCAAAGCAATACAGTGTATCATTCATTCATTCCTTCCTTCATTCATTCGTTTATTCATTCATTCAGACACTTATGGTGGTGTATGGTGGTGAGCTACAATGTAGCCACAGCTGTCCTGGGGCTCATTGACAGAAGCGACCTATATGGAGGCTTGACACTTGTAATAACACAAAAAGTTAGCAGCATATCTTAAAAGCTTTTTTTTAATTATCTCCTCTAATCAATGTGATTTTTTAGGCACCATTATTTTTAGAACATGCCAGAATTAGAAAAATGTCATTTCTGCAGTAATGCACTAAGTTGTAGTCCACTGTTGCTTTCAAAATATCAAACACAGTCCTAAAAATGTTGTTACTTGACAAACGTGTAACCACTGTAAATGAAAATTTCTGAATGAAATTCATCACATTGTCAATTTCAGGTCATCTCCTGTTCACATCTTTGGAAGCAGCAATAGTTTACATTCCTATGCTCGGCCCCCGTTAGCCAGCAGCGCACCCAACCCTTCCAGAGGCCACTTCAGGGAGCGCAGGCGTGTCAGGGTAACTTCTCAGTCTTGTACCCCAGAATCATAAGAACAATTCATGTCAGTAGAGCTGAGGATTATTCTCTGCTAAAAGCAATTAAACATTTTTTGATTTTGACTTTTTACCCACCACAGGCCAGCAGTGAGTCAGAGTCCGGGGTTTTCTCCATGTCCTCGTCATTTTCTGATGATGAAGACATGGCATGGTCTCATTCCTGGCCCTCCACAACCTGGCACTGCTTCCTCAAAGGTGGATATAAACATTTCTCTATAGCTTTATTAGTTCACTCATATTTCGACATTTTGAAGTGAATTTAGCCTATACTAAATTACCCAGATAAAAAAATAATTTTCATGTATTTGCAGAGTTTTAGACATTGTGTTATTCATCATGTTACTTTGTTGTGCTAATATTCAGGAACTCGCCTGCGCTTCCATCGAGGTCCTAATGTGGAATGGCAGGAAGCTGATGAACTGGGGGATTCAGATGATGACTCGGATGATGAAGCCATGATGCAATCCTCATTTTCTCTCAAGGTGAAGAAACTAAAGTGAATTTAGAGTAGGGCCGTACGATCTGACGATATAGGATTGTTAAGGATTATGATGTGATGACAATCTACCAAAGCTCGGCGATTGTAGGACCGTCTATTTACATTCTGTGGCTCGTCAGATCCATTATTTCTGGACGCATCAATGGGCACACAACATTTTGTCTTTTTTTCTCTCCATTGAGTCATGCATTTGCTAGTTTGCTTCTGTCTGCCATAGATGTCAGCATGACAGTCACACTAATGAACCAATCAGAGCAAGTTTAAAGAGCAAGTCACCCCTACCAGAATCTTACTCCACTCTCTGTTTAAAAAATGCAACAAATGCTGTTGCCTGGCAGACTGAGTGCATAGCCGCTAACAAATACAAATATACACACACACACACACACACACACACACACACACACACACACACACACACACACACACACACAGGCTCACCATGACATTGTGACATCATATGGTACCAGCTAATGTCAGAGGGTACCTCTTAGCCAATATCGATGGCTGATTAAAATTAAAATGCAGTGTAGCATTTTTACCTGAAGAGGGTGCAACACTGACAGTTTTAGGTAGAAAATGTAAACTTTTACAAAGATGCCCTAAGGTGCCAAATTACATTTATATAGTTTATCAGCAAAAGAAAAAGTAGATTTTGGGGTGACTTTCCCTTTAAGGCAGCTTGTTGGTTTGCTTAGCTGGGGTGCTCGGTAGAGCTGAGGAAAATAATCTAATAATCGATGCATTAAGATGCGGACATAAATGATTATGAATCGAAGAAGCACACCATGATAATCGATATTGTGGATATGAGCCACCTCAAGATGGAATTTAAATAATTTTACATTAATCATAAATATATAATAAATGAAAGTGCCTGTGGGACATTTGACACACACTCAACTCAGATGGATAGATAGATGGATAGATGGATGGATGGATGGATGGATTTTAGGTTTCTGAAATCTTTTATCCTATTTTCTCTGAAGAGATATACTTTAAAATTGATGTATTTTACTGGTAAATAACTTCCAGAAGATTTGAATTGTTGAATTGGAAAATATAGTGATCGTGATTTAGCCAAAAAAAAAAAAAGGCTATCTGATTTATTATTATTTTATTGCCCACCCTGTTTTTAGAGTCAGATCATTTCATTTATACTATTCTTGCACTGGCCACAAGATGGCATACTGACACAAAGCCAAAGTAGAATTATCCATCTACTCTCTGTGTGGTGCGTTTATGGTCCTGTGACAGAAACAGATGTTTCAGGATTTATGTCATTTGTCTCTAGAAAACTTGCACAGTAACAGTGACTTTAACCCCTGGTAAAGACGGAGGTAATATATCGGTTTGTTTTATCTACAGAGATATGGTTCAGATGGACTTCAACTGGTCAACCATGAAGAAACAATCTCTTTTGGCCAGGCAGTTCTTAAACTGACCTTTGACCCTGGCTCACCAGATAATGGACTTCTAACAGCTGAATGCCGATTGGATCACCCATTTTTTGTCAAAAACAAAGGTACTGTTGGACTTGCTTATTTCTGTAGCATGATTTCAATCCAATATCAAGTTTTATACATTTATATGAGATCAGTCACTGAGAAAATAAATGCAGACTTTTCAGGGTTCTGTTTAAACTAAAAGCTTTTAGTCTCATCTAATTTATGACTCACTATCTGCGTTTGTCAGGGTGGTCATCCTTTTATCCAAGCCTTACCGTGGTGCACCATGGGATTCCATGCTATGAGATGCAGCTGGGAGATGTATGTCTGCCACCAAACCACCCAGATGCTATTAACTGTGACGACTCCGTTGTTTTTGACACTTTCAGAAGGTAAAAGGCTTATCTTACTGTGGATATTTTTGGGATTTATGCCCATTTGTTTGGATCTGTTTTGCTCACGTCAATAATAAACAAGTAAAAATAATCCTGACAACAGAACTTAAGTCATTAGGTTTTATTGTGTTTGACTTCGTTTTCCGTACTGTATGCAGCTACGACTTCACCCCGCTAGATTCCTCTGCAGTGTACGTTCTCAGCAGCATGGCTCGTCAGCGCAGGGCTTCTCTGTCCAGCGGGGGTGCTGTCAGTCCAGACTGTGATAAACTGGAGCGGTCCTCCTCCCCACAATCCTCCAGTAGCAAGTCACACAGGAGCCACTACTCAGGGACTGCCAGTGGTGCCACTCCTACAAAATGCAAGCGGCCAATGAATGCCTTCATGCTCTTTGCCAAGAAATACCGTGTGGAGTACACACAGATGTATCCAGGGAAGGACAACAGGTGATCAGAGAAATGCAGTTTATTGAAGCAAAATGTGAAAATGTTTTTAAACGTGTAACCTTTTAAAGGTCAACTTCACTGAAAACAACATTTTTAATGATTGTTTCTGGTTATAATCGGTCACTCCCGAGTGTTCCGTGCAGGCTCAACATGAAAGTAGTCTTCTACACCTATCTCCTGCTTTAGCTTCTGATAGAAAATAGACAGTGAGATGCTAGGATTTGAAAAATCTGACAGATCTACATCACACTGTCACTTAACATTAATGGACTCACCTATCTTGACTCACGAAGGGGAAGGCTGTTGGTTTAGTGTTCAAAAAACGGCAGATAACATCTGGGCCTAGGAAAAGCTAGCCATTAGCATTAGCAACTCCACCTCACAGCACAACCACTTCAGGCCTGTGGTATTTGTGGAGATAAAACACCAACATTGCAAAGCAAACAGTCAGTGGGTTGCAGGATGGCGGTCTCTCGACAGACCAGGATTCCCCACCCCTGTTTTATACGTTAACACTAAATCAACATGCTAAATGTTTAAGGGATTTTTAAGCCATTTTGAATTGTGTTGTGTAAAATTCTTGTCTTAGCCATAGCAGATAGCTTCAAGAACAACCTCAGTTGGAGAAACCAAGTTAAAGTCCCACAGGACTGATGAGTTAACAGCTAGTCTGAGCTCATACAAAACTAAAGTGTATTACTGTCATCCTAAAACAGCTCCTGTTGACCTATTTGTGGTGGTCGTGCAACATTACTGTATAAACCTTTATACTGGACTAGTCATTAGCCTATCAGTCTTTATGTAAAGTATTTCTCAGAACTGAAGTTGAGTAATCTTGCTAAACAGACAGAGCTCACCACTAGTAGCCATAAGTTACTCCTGATGCTAACAAGATCTCTAAAGGAAATCATTAAACTACATAAGCTAAGCTCACTTTTAGCTCTGTCAAATTAAAACAATATTTTTCATGATCAATCCCATATTTAGATACCACTGTTAACTCATTCACTGCCAGCTGTTTCCTGAGTAGAAAAGCCCTTCGCTGCCAGTGTTTTTCAGCATTTTTACAGTTTTTTTAAGAGTCACAGAATGTTGCACTGTATGATGATGTCAACGCCAAAACTAAAAACAACGTAAACTCACCTCTTACATCAGGAAGAATCTGCGTGTTTTGAGTGTTATCCGTTCATTCATAATCCGTTGTCGATTTGTGATCGGCAGAAGCTTTTCCGGTTCACGCCTCACTTTCTTTTACAGCAGCGGCCCAAAACGATCTCCTAACACATGGATTTTCTGCTTCCTGATCACATGATGTGTGACGTGCACAGATGAAGATCGGCTTTAGAGCTGGGATGTTTGTTCTCACGGTGTGGGGGCTCGTTCCGACGCCCAGACAGTAAAAAATGCAAATGACTACTTTAGTCGTCATTGGCAGTTAATGGTTGGATTTAAAATGACGACTGGCAGTGAATGAGTTACAAGATTTGAACTGAATGTTTTTCACAAAGTTGATGTTGAGTCTGGTTTGTGTCTAAGCTCATTGATGTGACTTGATGCTTATTTAAAGGCTTTTGTGGAACATTAGAAGCTAGTTAAGCATTCTTGAGCTCAGCAGTTGGTACCATTAAAACATGATAGAAGATGGAACAAATGGATGAACATATTAGAGTCAGCCGTCTGTTTTTACAAACACCACGATGAACAGACTTATATCGATTATACAAAATGAGTAATGCTTGCCCTGATTAAGGGTAAAAGTAGCTTGTAAACTCTCCAAGTAATCAGTTTGATCATTTATAAGTGGAACATATATAGAAATCTGTGTGTTTATTTTTTAGAGCTTTGGTTTCAGATGTTGTGAAATGATAAGAAGTAGATTTTTTTTCTCTGGAAAAAAAGTTAAAAGAAACGACAACCAAAAAGGAATACATTTTTCTTTGTTTCCAAACATTCCCTCTAGAGCCATTAGTGTCATCCTTGGTGATAAGTGGAAGAAGATGAAGAGTGAAGAGAGGAGGATGTACACCATGGAAGCCAAGGCTTTGGCCGAGGAGCAGAAAAGACTCAATCCCGACTGCTGGAAACGTAAACGAACCAACTCGGTAAGGAGCATTAATAATTAACATTCTTAGCACCTTTTCATAGAAGAAGAAGAAAATATCATTTCTATAGCGCCTCTCAAGATAAAAATCACGAGGCGCTTCACAAAAACAAAAAAAAGTAAAAATATAAAAAAGCATTTAGAAAATGTTTTTAAAATATATTTGAAATGAGCAAAAATTGGTAATTGTGATTTTAAAAATTTGTTAAGAAAGAGAGAGAGTGAATAGTGAAGAAGGAAATCAGTGGATCCTGAGGAAGGTGGGAGAAGGTTGGGAGAGCAGAATAAAGAGGGGGGTTGAAGAAGGTCATACAAAAGCATAGTGCTTCAGGGTATCCGCGGGTCCTTAAAAAGTCTTAAATTTGCTTTTCCAAATTTAAGGCCTTAAAAATCCTTAAAAATGACAAATAATCCTTAAATACAGTTTCCAAAGGTCTTAAATTACCAAAGACCCAATAAACAAGATTATTTTATTTCAACTTTCATGAATTTCTAGTTAGTGTTCAGCATTTTTTGTGTATGATATTGGCATAAGCAGAACTGTACACATTCAGTTGGTTGTGAAAGGGGGCTTTTTTAGATGAGCACATTAGCTGGTTAAGCTAGTGGGAGATTGCGCCATGGGGACGTGCAACTTTTATGGTAACTGGATGGCTAATCCCACATTCGCAATAGCTGGAAATTATAGTTTAAATTTAATTTTAAAAAGTAGCTTAAATCTGGTCAAATTGGCCTTAAAAAAGGTCTTAAAAAGTCTTAAATTTGGCTCCCTTAAACCTGCAGATACCCTGTGCTTCATAGTGCTTTTCTCACTGATTCGGTGTTTCTTTCTATTCACAGGGTTCCCAGCAGACCTAGAAGATCCCCCAGAATCCTCATCTGCTGGTGTTTTTACACAGAGGTGCTGAATTTTCTGGACCGCTCTGCGTCTTTGCTCTCCTGTATTGTTGAGATTTAACTGTGATGCTGACTTCACTTGCTTTTGTAATCTTGACACATTATAACTACGAAACAGTTATAAAATATATATATGAAATATGTAATCTAGTCAGTAACCGTGCATATATTTTCTTACATCCTTTGTTTCAGCAACATCTTATTCCCTTCAAAGAAAATGTGTGAAACTTGTATTTCAGGTCATTTCTTATTCAGTGGCGGGCAAAAACAAAACCAAGATGCTTTAAAAGAGAAATAGGGAAAGCATCTATTTGTAACTATGAAAGAACATTTTTAGAGAACTTTTTTACGACTATCCATATTGATATTTTTAAGATGAAATATATTGGACAGATTTTTAACCCATACAGTTTGTACAGTCTCTGATTAAGTCTATCCACCCAGTTGGAGGTGTTACAGTACATTGCAAAAACACTTCAGGTTTTTAATGTAAGTGGTTATTTTCTTCTGCACTTTATAAAAAATAATGTAACCGGGTCCCATACAACTATTGTATACTAGTTAAACTAACCCCATTTTCAGGTTGGCATGTCTTTTAAGTGCTTTTGTTCATAATGTACAGGTCTCAATGCACCAACAACCCCTTGCACAAAATTATCGTTGTATGATATTATAAATAATTTTTTAAACTTTGTATCAAGGTGTGTGGATTTTTTGTACGGTTGTAGCTGTCATTAACCTGAGACCTGAGCTTTTGTGACAATATTGCGGCTCACATTGACTCTGTCCTTTGTCACGCCTTCACTTCACCACAGAAGATCCAGAACATCAGAGTTCACACGGCTTTGGACCCTCAACTGCAAGCGATCAAGCAGTACATTCAATCAGGGTGGCCAAGAGCTTGAAAAACAGATACTGGAGATGATTAAAGGTTAAAGGGTAGCTGTCAGTGATTGAGGGATTAATGACCAGGGGGAATCGTATTGGCATTCCCAGAGTTGAGAAAATTCAGAATGGTCATCAAGGGCTAACTACATGCAGGGAATGGGCCAAGCAGTCAGTTTAGTGGCTACGGATCTCACAAGATATTAATAAAGTAGAACAGTGTCAGTTCTGCAGGGAAAACAACACATGAAGGAGCCATTACTGTCAGAGTTACCATCCAGGCCACGGCAGAAAATAGGAGTAGACCTGTGTGAACACCAAAAACATGCATATCTCGTAGTGACAGATTACTATTGGAGGTGCTTGGAAAACTTGTACTTACCATCTACGAGCAGCCAGGTCATTGAGAAACTGAAATCTACTTTCACACGTTATGGTGTTCCAGATGTGCCGGTGAGTGATGATGGACCTCAGCTTGTTTCAGGTGGGTTCAGAAAGTTTAGTGTGGAATATGATTTCAAGCATATGACATCTAGTCCGCAATATCTGCAAAGTAACAGTGAGGCTGAGCAAGCAGTTCAGGTAGTGAAGATCCTTCTCAGACAGGAAGATCCCTTTTTAGCTTTGATGGTATCCAGAGCCACACCGTCAGCATCTGCTGAGGTCAGCCCGGTGGAACTGTTTGGTAGGAAAATCAGATCCACATTACCCACCTTGCCTGAAAACCTTGCCCCAAAATGATCAGGACAGTGTGAGACAGACTGATGTTAAGGTTAAACTGAAGCAGGCCTTTTACACTTTTTCTCAGTCGCTTTGGTGCGTTTCTCAGAAGACTATTAACATTTGCACAGCAGTTAGTGCATTTCCCAAAACAATTAGTGCAAACTGCAAAACCTAGTGGATAGCCTGCAAAAGAACGTCACATGCTCAAAATTGATAATCCATTCCTCAAAAGCAAGTATTCATGTCACTGAAACTGTCAGTGCCATCAAAATGAAAAGTCTTGACACCATCTTTATGAACAGGATAGTCAAATGGCTTTGCCATGTTTTCACCATGACAGTTTATAATTTCAGTGTTTTCCATTGCAAGAATATCTGGTGACACCAGAAAATGCTCAAGACAGCACTGTGCCCTACTTGTACAGCCATTTGAAATGTGCAGTAAAGTTACTGTAGATGTTATGGGAGTAACTGAGACACTGAATACATATGTTTTACATTTTTACTGTATAGAAGTGTTTGTAATTCTACAGCATTGTGCAAAAGAAAAATATGCTACAGTCACTTGTTTAATGTGGAATACATGTAAACAAAAAATCACCCTTTTGGTAAAGCTGTGCACAAATGTGAACAATATACAGTACATGTAACAGTACATACAGTATTGCACAGTACTGTAACATACAGGTACAGTAAATCATTCTGGCACATCCAGACGTTCCTGTCTGTCTGGCCACATATTTTCATCTACATCACAACGGATGTCATCCCTTGCAATGCAGCGAGGAAAGTATCTCCTGGAGTGTCAAATCCACCCTCTGCAGGACTCTGCTGTGATGTCATCACAAGTTGCATCCATAGCTGCTAGCAGGGCCATTTGGGTATGTGGATGCCTGTCATATACCTTCCACCTCCAGGAAGAGAAAAACTCCTCAATTGGATTTAGGAATGGAGTGTAAGGAGGAAGAAACTCCATAAGCATCCTGTCGTGTGCTGCAAACCACTGCCTGACTACAGCAGAGTGATGGAAGCTAACATTATCCCAAACCACTACACACATTGTCCGATTATCACCAGGACACACACCAATTTTCATTAGTGTGAGATAAGGTTCACCTGAGACAAGTCATTTATGGAGATTTCCATGGAAACTCCTTAAAAATAGGGTTTTCAAAACGGGTGTACAAACTGTTTGACAAGATGTTCAACAGTTTTGAGTGCAATGACACAAGCAATGAAATGAAGACTATTAGTTGTAAGGACAATGACTATTCAGCCGGTACAAGTATCAATAATTGTGACATTCATGATAAAAGCAAGGAGATAGTGATGAATAGCAAGTCAAAAGTGACCATTCTTTACACATTTGTACTTACTCAACTGCTTCATGTCCAAAGGCATTTGCCTTTGGATGAAATGAACATGAAACCGCCACTAGGTTGTGCCAAAATGACTACACGTTGTGGAGGTTGAACTAACTGTTGTGCAAAGTTGAATTCTGTTGTGAGAAATGCACCAAAGCAACTGAGAAAAACTGTATTACAACAAAAGGCGTGGGATGAGGAATCTACGTGTACTGAATCCAGACAAGGATCTCCTAAAATTAGACAGCGAGAGACACTGGTCAACTCCAGGGGTTGAGAAAGAGTGCGGGGATATGCCAAGGTTGTACTTGCTGAACACTCCTGATGGAAAAAGGCTCAGAAGGAGCAGAAAACATCTTCTGAGAGCACCACAGAGCAATGCTAGCACTGAAACATCAGCGGGCTACGAGTCTGTGGTACCCAGTAGCGGGGTGCATGAGCCTGAGAGGGACACTGGAGGTTCTTTGCATGATGAATTGACAGAAACTATTACAGTTACCCATTTGGTTACAGTGATTAAACCACCATCTACTTAGTCTGTGAAAAAGTTCAAAGAAGAGGTGAATGCTGAGGTTCAAGGTGTTGAAAACCCAAAGAAGAGAAGTGTAGATGATAACATCCCATAAAAAAGAGGAGCTGTAAAGGAGTAAACTTTCAGGTACCTGTGGTTCAGAAGATTTTGTAGGAAGTGTGTAAGAATGGTAAGGGTGTGCATGTGTTTGTTAAAGGGCTCCCAGGTTAGTTCGATTCCGATGTTGGAATAATTACTGCTGTGTTTTGTAAAGAGGGGAGATGTGATGAATGAGATTTCCTTTGTTAGGGGAAGTCATTAAACACACAAAAATAAATAAATAAATAAATAAATAAATAAATAAATAAATGCCTGGAGGCTGTATGCTGAACATGGCTGAATAGAGATTAGATTCCATAACTCAGTGCAACTTTCTTTATATCACTAAATGTCAGAATGAAGTTACATCCATAAAAGACAAATTCTAGATTTGACATTACAGAAAACGGGGACGGCTTGCCATCAAATTTAAAATCAATCAATCAATCAATCAATCAATCAATCAATCAATCAATCAATCAATCAATCAATCAATCAATCAATCAATCTATCTATCTATCTATCTATCAATCTATCATCTATCTATCTATCTATCTATCTATCTATCTATCTATCTATCTATCTATCTATCTATCTATCTATCTATCTATCTATCTATCTATCTATCTATCTATCTATCTATCTATCTATCTATCATCTTCTACTTTTATTTGTGTAGTGCTGTCCATCATCCTCAAGGGGGACCCAAAGTGCTGAACACAGCAACAATAAAACAGAAACAAGACACCAATAAAACTAGGATAAAAAAGAATAAAATCTATCAAAAAAAATTGAAACTGTTAAAATCACTTAAAACCAGTCACCAAACAAATGAGGTGAAAGCCAGATGATAAAAACGAGTCTTTAGGCGACTCTCAAAAGCAGCCATAGATGGAGACAGCTTAATGTTACAGTTTTTCTCAGTTGCTTTGGTGCATTTCTCACAACAGAATTGATTTCTGCACCAATATTAAGGCTCTTCTCAAAACTGTTAGTGCAAACTGCAAAACATGGTGGATAACTTGCAAAAGTGAGTTACTTCATCAAAAAGAAAAGTCAGTTGCTCAAAATAAGTAGCCAATGCTTCAAAAGCAAGTCCCTTAATCAAAACAGATAATATATTCATCAAAAGCAAGTACTTATATCAATCAAAGTGTCAGGGCTGTCACAATTACAAGTCATTACACCAGCACCTTTGGTCACAAAATCAAATGGTTTGAACATGTTCTCGTTGTGATGGATTTCTTTGTAGGTGCTTCCCAATGACTTGTCAAGTCTGGACAGCATGCATGGTATGTTGAAAACCATAAATTGTAAAGGAAAATCAAGACACTTCATATGCACTCTTGATAATATTTAGTTGAAACTGTTCACAGCATTGTGCAACTGGAGAAATACAGTAAAACAAACATTTTACAGCAAACATAAACTCACTTAGACAGTAAACCTTACTGCAGTAGTTACAGTTTTTCTCAGTCGCTTTGGTGTGTTTCTCAGATCAGAATTTAAATTCTCATAACTATTAGTTCAACCTCCACAACATTTAGTCATTTGTGCACATCATAGTAGCAATTTCTCCTTTCTCTGAACAAACTGCAAATGATTTTGGACATGTATCAGTTGCTTTCATACATTTCTCTGCTGTTTTTTGACATTTCCATTTGCTTATGTCATGTCAGTCAAAATGAATTATACTTATGGATGCTGAATAGTCGTTCTCAATAAAACTAATAGTCTTACTTTCATTGCTTGAGTCATTACACACAACATTGTTGAACTAGTTATCAAATGTCAAATATCAGTCATCTGTCAAGCAAATTCTATACCTTTCTTTATCATTTTATTCTGGAAATGTCTCCTAAATTGAACAATTGATCACAGGTGAATTTCATCTGTCACTCATGAGGAGGTGTAATCCAATAGAGGAGTTTTTCTCTGCCTGGAGGTGGAAAGTTTACTGTATGACCAACATCCACATGAGCAAATGGCCCTGCTAGCAGCCATGGATGCAGCATGTGACAACTTCACAGCAGAGTCCTGCAGAGGATGGATTCGCCACTCCAGGAGATACTTTGCTCGCTGCATTGCGAGGGACGACATCCGTTGTGATGTA